CTAACAATGGCACACAATTGTAGTACTTAATAAGCTCGAGATCATGGAATTACGACGTATGAGATATATCTCGAGAAAGTCATTCTAAATGCATATATTTATATCCACATACATAGGGTGGAAGAAAATTTTCTAAATAATTTTTAACATCAATTATTTTTGAGATTAATTTGTTTTTGATTACAAAACTATACGCGAACTTAAAAACTTTAGAACTATCCTGTATAATAGAGGAATCATTTACTAAATCGATCGAGTATTACTCACGAATCTTAGATAGCATCGGAAAGAACGAACACGTGCACGCGCACTAACATGACAGTAATTACTGATGATCGTTTGTTTATTATCAAACCGTTTTTAGTCAGACGTGTTTTCTAGTGTTTACACAACAGACAAGTAATGTCTTTAAAAACTCAAATTGATCGAAAAAAATCTATAAAAAAAAAAGGTGATCAATTTAAATAAAATCACTATAAAAACATTAATCCCGTCTATAGAATCTAACGGCGTGGGCAGAAACGTCTGTCAAAATACGACGATGAATGTGTTGAAAGAAATAATCAGTTTAAGATTGTCGATGCTACGAGATCGATGATTTCTAGATTGACGACGATATTGTAGTCATCATGTTTAGAGAAAAGCAATAGTTTAATCAAAATGTCCATGAAAACAGGAAACTTGGAAGTATCTTCCAAAGGGCAAACGTGTAACAGCAGCAGTAGCAACATCAGCGGTAGTAGCAGTAGCAACAGCAGCAGTAGGTTACAGTGCGCGCGATAGTTAAGTCAGGTCAGTTTGCTAGAGCTTACATAAAGAGGCTAAGTAGCGGCGAAAGGAAGAGGACAGCGAATGTTATACACGAGAAGGACAAGTTAGAACAGAGGGAAGGTAATAGGGTGGGGAGATAGACAAGAAGTGGGGGCGGTAGAGAATGGAACTGGTAGGAGTTAGTTAGCTAGTAGTGACTATGTATGTGTGTGTGTGAGAGACAAAGAGAGAAAAAGAGAGAAAGAAAAAAAAGAGAGAGAGAAAAAAAAGAGAGAGAGAAAAGTAGAGAGACTGTTACAGGGGTGGGGGCACCTGTTACAACGTTCAAGACTATCCTATCTCTCTTTCTTTCTTTCCTTCTTTCTTTCTTTCTTTCTCTCCTTTCATTTCCCTTCTTTTCTTCCTTCCCGTAGACACCACTTAGGTCGTTACATTTAAATTTCTCTAGTGAAGGCAACGTAACCGTTTTCCTGTGCATAAACTCATGGACACGATCGATGCGGTCATTCTCTTTCTCTCTTTCTCTCTATCTATTTCTCTTTTGTAGAACATGATACATACATTCGTCGTATTTGTGTATACTTTTATATATAGTTCTATGAGTCTCCAAATTTAATGCAATAGCATCGAGAAGAAATTAATAGTAAATGTTAGTGTCCCACACTACTACTACTATTAATACTACTATTAATACTACTATATTACGAGGCTACTACGATTACTACCGTCACAATACATTTCTCTCTCATCAATCGATGTTTCCTGGTATGTTGGGCAAATTCACACAATCGTCTCCTTCAAATCTGATGTATTACTTTCGTATGATTATTCTTTTTTTTCTTTCTAAGCATCTTTATAACTTCGTAATAACTTCAAAAATGAAATGGATAAAGAAAAAATCAAAAATAGGCAATCTGTAGACGCTAAGTATGTATACAAATACTTATGTATACGTGTTACCAAATTCATAAGATTGTTTACACAATGCGATTTCGAATGTTGCTTCTTATCGCATTCTTCGAATCGATAAAACATGTTGATAACCACCAACCAAGTGGCTCATGAAAATATAATCATTGCTATACTTTGTAACTTTGATAGCTTGATAAACGAATGAATTTAATAGAGGAGGGGATAATACACAGAGAAAAGTAGAAAAATAAACAGCAGAATTTAGAAATGTTTGTCGAAATAATGTCATTCATATACCATGCACGCTCTCAAAGTAACGTATGATTTATAACGGCTATGGTCAATTGGATATATTAGTCGAAAAATATATGCTCGAACACGCGATCGGTACACTTTCAATATATACATATGCATGGATACATAATACATACATATATACATACATAATGTATATAGGAACATGCAAGAGCAAGACGATCGAACTAATCGACGACAGTTTGGTCGAGCGGTTAATTCTAAAAATCCTCCAAGCTACATCATAATTGGTCGATCTCCGTAGGGTCCTGACCATCCAATCACCGTCCGGCAAAGATCAACCAATGATAGCCGACCAGTTCATACAGAGCAAAACGATTCTCTACAAACGTTTACAGAACAAATCTTTGAAAGAAGTAAAACCACAATCTCAATTTTGTTATAAAAGAAAAATGTGTGTGGTACTTTTAAAAGGTAAACATAAAAAATAAGGAAAGAAACAATAAGGATGTTTTAGGTTAAAATGTAACTACCTTTCCTTGTATTTTGGCCCTATGCAGTAGAGACGCTTTTGTGACCGACAAGAGACACATATATCTCTTTCTGTCTCTTGTTAAAGTATTTCGAGAGACTTACGGAAGAGCAAGAACGCGAGTCCGCATCGAAAGGGAGAAAGAGAAAGAAAGAGAACACTTTGAAACGTGTCGCTGAAATTCTATCACGGTGGTGGTAGTTCCCCGTCGTAGTCGATCAGACCCGAAACAGGGAGAAAGAGAGAGGAGACCGGACGAGAAAAGAGAGTAGGAAAGAGAAAGAGGACGATAATCGGGCCAATCCGGCCGATGGAAGGAATAAAAAGAAAGGCGCGTGGCTCGTTGCTGGCACGGCGTCTCCCGCCATATCGCGCCGCCAGTTGCCGCTATACGCACGTACGAACGCGAGCGTGGCAGAGAACAAGAGAAAGAGAAAGAGAGACGGGGAGGAGAGGGATGAAGGATGGGAGGTAAAGTAGAAGAAGAGGGGAGGAAAAATTGAAGGAATGAAGCGGGCGCACACCCACACACACGTTCACGTCCACACGAACGTGCGATTAGCAGGGGCAGCGGCAGCAGCAGGAGCATGAGCATGAGCATGAGCAGTATTAACGGATACATATCGGAGAATTGTAGTCGTGAAAAAGAAGAACGAAAGAAGAATGTATTGCGTAGAAAAAGAGAGAGAAAGAGAGAGAGAGAGCAGGAAAAGAACGCGAGCAGTCACGGAATCCTCTGCGATGCGTATGTATGTAGACCGCGTGCGCCGTGATACTACGCGGCCCGCGTCCACCGATAAACGGGCAAGGATAGAGAGAAAAAGTGAGGAGTAGGAGACATAGATAAAGAAAGAGAAAGATAAAAAAGGGAGGGAATTAAAGTATTAATAAAAAAAAAAAAAGAAAAAAGGAATCGTGCCGCATCGACTAACCTGTCGGAGGCGACTCTTCGTATATTTGTCGGGCACCTTCGAACTCTTCGTCGTACTCGTGGCGTTTCACCGGTTGTACTGAAAGGGGCTAACGAGACAAGGGGAATAACACAAATCGTATCACTCTATCACCACTGTGTTCCTTCGTATCCTTTCTTCTTCAGTTGCTTAGGTCCTTGTTGAATATTTTTCTATCTGGCTCTCTTGTTGAGAGCGGAGGGGTGTCCACACGACGGCGCGGCTCTCCTCTCGGTTCGCGCCGCTCTCGCGTCGTCCACGGCCGACTTCGGAGAGCCTCCCCCCGTAGAGAGAAGCCCCGTGTCGATCGTATTAATGTGGACACTGTGATCACGCGCGCCTCTATCCTTAGGACGCCCCGTAACTTTCTTAATTATTCGATTTTCTCGATTATACAATTAAAAGGAAAAAAGCGAAGATCCGACGATACGCGGAACTACGCTCGCGACACTCTCCCTCGCTGGAGGAAAATGGCGGCCCCCGGTCGCCCGAGTGACTCGCGCGCGCCACCGATCCTTTCCGTCACCAACCGACCGCTCACGGACACGCCCGAACTCCCCCGACCGACATATACCGAACGGTTGAACGCTTAAATTTAAGATTAATTCAACGACAAACTGCCGACACACATACACACATCGACAATTTACTGGATATATTACAATTTATACCTTTTTATTTCATTCCTTAATTACTATTATTTATTTATTATCATCYTAATGTTATTTATTCTTTCATCATTTTATCTTGCATCTATCGCAGTTTTATCGCACGTGTTTAGTTTTTTTAATTTTATTTATTATTATTCAGTTAAGTTATTGACTTTTTACTGTTTATGTACAATACTGAAAATAAGAAATTTTAAATATTAAAATAACTCTTTAATTGTAACAATGCATTATAATATCGTTATTATTTATCGTTAGATTTGAAGATACAGAGTCTCCATCTTGTGTGCTTATTATCTTTTATGATTTGAAACCGTGATTTCTGAAATCTAGCGTTTATATATCTTTCTTATTTCATTACTTTCTAATAGAAAATCGTTGACCAATAATATTTTAAATATATATCCGTGAAATGCTTCCTATGATTGGTTGATATCAGAACTGCGATTTATGGACCAATAGAATGTAATGAAGTACATTGTTGACTATATACTCTAATTCTTACCTTCGATTGGTTGACATATTCGAAGTTTTTTACTGATCAATAAAAGATCATATATTATTATTATTATTATTATTATTATATTATTTCAATTCTTATACATAAACAAATAATTCAATAAATTATATAAATAATGCGTGAAATATAAGTAGTCAAATGTAATAAAAGTAAAAAGATTTTTTTGATTGGCTACTGATCATTTAGAAACATAGTTGCACTTTCTGCTGATTATTTTGTTGCTTTATTTTACTGTTATTAAAATAACGTATAATTATTAAATAACAAATATCTCAATGCTAATAAAAATGACAATATCAATAATAAAATGTATCGTACATAAATTCAAATTTAAGTATACAATTAAATAGCTTGGATCATTGTGATTAGTAGAGTCATCTAACGGTTTAAACATATATTATAGGATACTTAACAATTAAAGATTAAGATTTAGTACTAAATATCGTAGCATTTATACTACGTTCTTTGTACGAGGAAAGTTTAAAATTATTTCATAATATTTGATTGGAAGAAAACAAAATACAAATAATAATATTGTTGCACTTCATGGTTTCTTTCAAAACGCGGCTTAAAAACATTCAACGTATGTAAATAACATTAAATGATTCGTTAGAAAAGAAAAATACAAATCTGACGTTCCATCATATATTTGTCACAAATATATCTCTCTTTCTCTTTCCCCTTTGTCATTGTCTTATTACATTTTACTTGTTGAGGTCGTACGTAGAAATGGACCAGTATTTAAATAGTGTCTTATTGTTCGAGTGAATATTATTGACTTGTACGATAATTACTTCAAATTATATTTGATAGTTTCACTAATCATTCGACATGTCAGACGTGAAAAGTCTTGAACATCCAACGTTGAAGGTAAATCATTTAAAAACCATTAATATCTCATAAAAATAATTACATTTCAAAATATTTAACATATATAAAACTTAGTTAAATTATTTTTAACATGTGTTTTCCTTCCACTTTTAAAATTTTTTTTTGTACTTTTTGATAATGCAGGTTCCATATGAACTTTTAAATAAAAAATTTCGTTCAGCTCAAAAGACATTAGACAGAGAAGTGTCACACGTACAAACCGCAACCAATGAATTAGAGAAAGGATTAAAAGAGGATGAAGCAAGTGTTGCTACTGGAGAAATAACTAGACTTTTAGGTGGTGTAGTAGCCAGACTTCAAGTTTTGAAGCGCAAAGCAGAGGAATCTATTGCTGAAGAATTGCAAGCTGGTATGGTTTGCAAAAGACGTTTGGATCATTTGAAACAGCATGTCAATACAGCTCCCAGTGCTGTTAATCAATGGAGAAGGCAGAGATTAGATCGTATGTTGGTCGAATATTTTCTTCGGAAAGGCTACTACAAAACAGCAACTAAATTAGCGGATAGCAGTGAACTGAGGGATCTAACTAACATTGGTACAATAAACTACCATTTATTACATGTTTTTGATATAATTTTGATCTACCTTAAGAATCATTGGCTAAAGAAGAAAATTTATAATTTTTAGATGTTTTTATGGTATCTAGAGAAGTAGAAAAGTCTCTAGCGAATCATGAAACTTCAAGGTGCATCGGTTGGTGTCATGACAATCGATCAAAATTAAGAAAATTGGGTAGTACAATGGAATTTAATTTACGCGTACAAGAATTTATTGAATTAGTAAGAGCAGATAGAAGACTCGACGCAGTCAAACATGCCAGAAAATGTTTTGCCAATTACGACGATTATCAGTTACAAGAAATTCAATGTTGCATGGGACAACTGGCGTTTCCTGCTAATCTTTATCTCAGTCCGTATAAGGACTTGTTAGATGAAAAAAGGTATATTATCTTGTTAAACATATATTTACAATATATATATTTTAACTCATTGATATTGTTTTTTCTAGATGGGATAGACTAATAGAACAATTTAGACATGAGAACTATAGACTTTTCCAATTAGCCAGTCAAAGCGTATTTACAGTAGCATTGCAAGCAGGATTATCTGCTCTAAAAACACCTCAATGCTACAGTGCAAATAAAGAAGGCAGAAATCCAAGTTGTCCTGTGTGTAATGAAGCGCTTAATGAATTGGCAGCTCCATTACCATTCGCTCATTGTTCTCAATCAAGACTTGTTTGTAGTATTAGTGGCAAGCCTTTAAATGAATATAATCAACCGATGATGATGCCAAATGGATATGTTTATGGAGAACAAGTAAGTAAATTTGAAGTTACGTACACAAATATGTGGATACATTCTTTAAACACATATCCTTATAATAAATATTTTTTCTTATAGGCTTTGGAAAAAATGGCACAAGAAAATAATGGTATCGTAATTTGTCCAAAGACCAAAGAAGAGTTTCCTTATAAAAAGATTGAGAAAGTGTATGTTATGTAAAATGAATAGTTATATTTTAAACTGTATAATACATAAAACAACGGGAATTTTTGTGCAGAAATAGGCATTTGTTTAGATAGCGTTTATCATTTTTCTTTATTTTTTTTTCTCTTTCTTTTGTTCCTTTTTTGTTGATATTAAAGTATATATATATATACTTATAAATATACTTAAGTATATATATATATTATTATTATTATTTCGTGCTATGTAATAAATATTTACTAGAGGAAAATACAAACCTCTTTTTACAAAACTATTTTTATACTAATTTAATAATATATCCAAAAAATATACATTAATAAAATATATCATTTTTATGTGTATTATTATAATTCTGAATAATATTATTTTTATGTAATTTTATTAGTTTTCTTTTTTTTTTTCTTAACACGTTTATTGAACACCGTATTCTATGGTAAGCATTTAAAAGGTCTCAGGTAATTATATAACTTTGGTAATACATATATATATATTTGGAATTTTGTAACTGCTCTTTACAAAAAAATTATGTTTATATTATACACATTCCAAACATTTCAATAAGTCGATAAATTTATCATTCCATAAACTAATTCTCTAGTACCTAGGTATTATTTTTAATATGAATATAATCATAAGTTTATAAAAAATGTATAAATAAATATTACTTTCTTTGGAACTATTAAATACGATCAATAAATATAATAACAACAATAATAATCATCATCATCATCGTCATTCATAAATTATACAAATTTTTTGTTCACAATTCTACCTTGGTACTAAAAAATTAATAGCCTAATTTAATAACTACTTATTAGGATGTATTGTATATATACATAAATTGAAATGATTGCACTATTAATAATATATTATTTTAATATATTATACAATAAATATTTAATATAATTATACAATTTTATGTGAAAGATATTTGATGAAGATACTTAATCTAAATTTTTAATGCATATGTGTGATATGTATTTATTTTAAAAAACAAACGAAATATGTTTTTACATATTCTAATATTTTTTATAAAAATATGCTTTTTTTTACATCAGATCAGTTGTCAGTTTCTTTTTATTTTTTAATTATTCAAATGATTGCAATTCCTTTTTTTTTTCTTGTTTTAACTTATTGTCTGTATTGATATACATACATGAAGGATTGTCCCTTTTTTAGGAATTCAAATTCTGTATTTTACAATAAGAATTTTTTTTATTATTAGATTATATTATAACAATAGAATAATAACAAAGGCAAGTATAATGCCTTATTATATTTTGAATGCATGTAATAGATAAATAATGCTATTAAAGTGTAAAAACAGTATTTATATATATATATGTATATATATGTAACAAATACACGTACACTCGTCTCATAGATGCACACATTACATTCATCGCTTATCTCATATGCACGGAATAAAAATCGTTATTACATTTGTAATTCTGGTCGTAAATAGTATTTTATAGGTTTTTTTTTATTTTATTTTATAAGGCGTGCAAGGTTGGAAAATTCTATTTTTTTAAATATTAATAAAGCGTATAATATAAGCATGTATGTAAAAATTTGTTCTTATAATAATATTAATAATTATAATATAATAATCATAAGATTTATAATTTATTTATTACAATAAAATATAGCTCGCTGATGAACAAACTAAATGTACAAATTACAAATATCTGTGCGATGCCTAATCAATAACAAAATAAGAAGATATTAGAATATTAGTATAATAATATAAACTTAATTTCAAATTATAAATTATAAATGAGAATATTTTTAATCAAATATTTTAATTGTATATTTTTGTTTCATTCGTTTAAAATATATTTAACACCCTTAAAGTATCAAACAAATGGAGAAATAACGAGATCTAATAAAATTGATCTCTCTATTTACCCAATAATTGTAATAATCTGTGTAAATATTATTTATATTTCAAATTTATTGTGTATAAATATAAAAAAGTAACCAAAGCAATATATATATGTGTGTATGTGTGTGTGTGTGCATTTTTACTATATATTGTAAATCTCTGTTTCAATTTCATCTTCAACGTACCATTTCTACTTTTTATATAGAAAAAATCTATAAAGTATCATGTAAAGTCATGAATTATTACATGTTCTTTGGTACTTTTATTCTTTCGAAATGTTATTAATATTATCGTCGTGTAAGAAATTTTTTCGATTGCCATATTATGAAAATAATGTAAATTTCTTGATTGATCTTAAGACTTGTAAAAAAATGCAAGCATGTGATATCTAAATTGTTTGAAAAAAAAAGATGGCTATCTGTTTATAATAATTTTTACTTTTTTCATTATTAATTTTGCATGCGTATTATGTAACATTATTGTCTGTTTTATCATGAATCATTTACTCGTATAGAATAATACAGTCGCGTAGACATATTCGTATTAATTTTACTATTTTCTTATGTACTATGTTTGGTCACTTATAATGGCTTTTTAAAAAAAAAAGATAACTTGTGATGTTATCCTTCATAATGATTATCTAAGAACATATTATGATGCTGCTGCTATTGAGTATATTTTCGTGTAAAATAAGTGTCACATTTATGTGTAACAAAGATAAAAAAAGAAAATAAGTAGAACAATTACAAATGACTAATCAACAAGAAATAAAAAGTAAAAATATATAAAACACTACAACCTTATGAGTGTATAATATTATTAACATTCATATCACAAACTATAAATTTATTAATAATTCAATTTCTTCTATTTCATCTCCTAGCATGCAAATACATAAAGGGGTATTGTAATAGTCGAACACTAAGTCCACCTAAATCTTTGTTGTTTCCATGGGGGCTCCTCTATCGAAATTAAAAGTTAGATAAAAGAAAATTGTTACATAAAATAATCTCATTTATAGTATTAAAGCAAATAGATTAATTATAAGCGTAGATATATTATTGATTAATATGTCAAACGACAGTCGAACTTGAATTCTGGGCCTCACAGGAAACAAATCCGATTTATGATGGGTACTCGACATATTTATTAAACATGTGTGATGTGTAATTTTAAAATACAAATAACAGCAGTTTAAATGCTTGTTCAAAATTTGTTTCTATTAACAATTTTTTTGTTGCTTCAGATCGTTCTATTTAAAAAAGAAAAAAATGTTTTTATGAAACGAGAGATGATACGTTTTAAATTTCATTTCACAGTTGGAATTACTTAATCGTAGAATTTAGAGAAATTGAAATTATGTGCTTACTTTCCAGCGGCTTTGTAATATTTAATTCAGGCATTTCTGTAGAACCTAATATGACATATATAATTTTGTCCTCATTAAGGCTGATTGGTCCAATTTATTATGATATTTTGAACAAGTTATTATATCGAAATATATTATTTGTGATAATAACCATGTACCTTTGATCTTTTCATTCATTTCTAATTAGTAACACAAAATGTTGAATTAAAATAATAACGATCTTTGGCATTAACTGAAATCTTAGAAAATAATTCCAAACGATGTTTGTCGATAAATGTCAAAATATCCAATGATAAAATATCCAATGCTCTCTAAGATATGATCATTGGCATAACAAAAGAAAACAAGACTCCACTAAAAATACCAGTAATCAGTAAAGCTGCACCAAACATACCAGCTACTGAGGAGTATTGTTGATCTACCATTCTAAAAATAACAAACATATGAATTATTGCAATTCTATCAATTAGAAATATTCATTTTCAAAGAATGTACTCTTACTTGGGGCAATACATCATTGCAATAGATGAAAGGTAACCATGAGAGATACCCATCGAAATGCCGATAACCAAATATCCCCAATCATTTGTAATAAACACTGGCAGATATCTTGTTATTTCCGCCGGTCGATAGTTACAGAAAAGAAACAACGGTATGAAGAATATTCGTAAAATAATTGGTATTATCAGATATTTTTCGCTAGGCTAAAAAAAAGAAAAAAAAAAGAAGAATTATATTTCAACGTTAATATAAGGAAAGAGTAATAAGCAATCAAATATTTATTTACCCATTGAACGATAGATGCAATGGAGCTACCAATCATAGCGGTAATGTTGAAAGTCAGAAAACACATAACGCTAACATAAAAATCAGGTGAAATTATAAAATCTGTGTTTGATACTTTTATATCAGATTGAACAGCAGGAAATAAAGCAAGAGTAACAAAAAAGACAAGAAATATGTTTAAAAGTTGCGGTGCGCATTGTGATACTATTTTCCAATAAGGTATTTTTTCTGTTTTCCCTCTTGCACTACTTTCCAATTGTCTTTTATTCAACTCCTTCTGGTTGAGTAATTCATGGTATCTATAAAATCTCTTCAAAATAATGACAAAGTTAATATAATGTTTTCCTTTCTTTTCATAAGAATAATAGATTTTTAAAAATTGAAAATGTCTTACGTTTAAGGGAAGAGCAAAATATGTGTCGAAACAAGCTAGAAGAATAAATAAAGCTGTTATAAAATAATAAATAGCTGCAGTTCGCGCATTTGGTGCCATAATTTGAGAAATAAGATTGATTAAAGCTGTGAACGTTCCACATATATTCTGTAAAAATAATAATTACAATAAAGATAACGTTTACTTGTTGTTATGAGTATTCATTTAAAAATAAAATAGTTATGATATTTATAATTACCGAACCCAAAATAACAGCCCCTGTGTATTTGCTAGGAAGTTTAGCAGCCATTCCGAATACCGAATTTTGATAAATTCCATTAGCAGCTGCAGAAATGTATTATGTAAATGTCTTTATTTATGAATAATTATTAATATACGTATATAATTATATATTTTATAAATAAGATCTTACTATTTAGCACTACAACGGAAACCATTGTAATCCAGAAGAAAACCCCAGGCCATTTAGAACTATCTGTCATTGCCAATATAACGGTAAATACAAATATAAGAACTAGTGTAAAGATACTCCATGCTATACGTGTTGTTAAATTTCCACTAAAAGGATAAGATAAAAGTAATTAATACAACATTAATATTAAGTCATAATGTACAATTCATTTATACATAAAATTAAAATTGATATATCATAAGGAATATGCATACCTGAGCTTCATAAATATATTTAACCAATTAAATAACAAGTTTGGAATTTGCGAAGCAAATCCCAGATATGAGAGAAAATGTGTCGAATAATTACTCTCAATATCTGTATATTCTTTGGATAACTTATAATTGACAAAATACTGTAAAAATAACAAATTTTAATTATATAAATATAAAAAAATATATTTAAAAACAAGTAAATAAATAAATATTTTTAACAAATAATCCTTACATCTTTTGCTGTTATAAACATATTCCATGGCATTAAAATACCAATTCCATGAAGTACTAGTATCGAAAACACTAAATTTAATCTAAAAAAATTCAAGTAAAATATTTTCATTATCTTTTTATATATTTAGTAATTTAACTTACACTAAATGTACCTGTCACTTGGAGGATTTATTTCTAAATCGGCTTGATCCATAGTTACACCTTTAAAATTTAATTCGTCGTCAGGTCTTCCAGTTCCTTCCCAACCTGGTGAAAGACGTACAGGTTCGCTACCTATAATACATAAATATTAATTATTTTTATAAACTTCTTTTTTCTTTTTACCTTTTATAGTCCTATGTAACTTAGAAGTCACATACCAATAGATTGAAAATTGTTTACTTTTAATTTACTTTTGTTCTCAAATGTATTATACAATTTGTTCTCACATATAGTGTACATTTTTTTCATAATTTCTTTTTTGTAATTGACAAAACTTTCGTTTGAAATTTAATAATAAATTTATAATCTTCAACAATTCTCAATTAACTTAAATTATATTTTGAGGACTAAAAATTTATTTTTAGTCACGAACTACAAAACTCGAGTTACTGAGAATTAATAAAACAATGGTAAATATTTTATTTATTTAAAGGCAAATTTAATCATAAGAACTTAAAATTGTATTATATACCAAAATTAATTGTAATTTTTATTGTATTTTTTATTAGCACCATTAAATCTTTAAAAAATTTAATATAATTAGAATGTTGCTAATAATAATGTCACATAACAAGTAAACGATTCCAATTACTAACTGAAACTAAATTAAATTTTAGACGTTAGTTAAGCTAGACTGAAGATAATTGTATGTTCGTACCATACGATTACTATGCTTTATCGCAGTAGACTTTGACCAAAACCTATTTCTTCTATTTCAATATTATCTTTAAACTAACAAAGTGTTTTCCAAAAGTATTCTAAGTAAAATATCCACCAGAAAAAGACTTGTAAGCTGACTGTTGAAACCAAAATGAAGATTTAAGTCAAACCAGTTTGAGCAACCGTGTCCTTTTTAAGATAAGTACAAAAAAAAAAAGATAATTCTTGGAAGAGAAAACAAGTCCTTTTAAGTCATCCCTTAGAAGTTACCATTAAGGTTACCACTTTAGAATAACCTTTTAAGTTAGAAATATAAAACACAACGAAAGTTATAAAATTATATGATATAAAAATAGGTTGTGTGATTAAAGAACAGATACAGAAAAAAATACCTTTAGCAGGGACAATACGTGCTCCATTGGAATCTTTTAAAAGAGTTTGTTCCTCAGGACCCGCGCCAATTTCTTTCTTCGTATAACTACCCGCCATTTTTTTACTACAATTTTAAACTTAAATTGATTTAAAAAAGTATACACGCGATTTTATAATCAATGCATCTCTAATAATAATCGATAGATAAATGATATATATATATATGTTATAAAGTTTTAAAACAAACGAGACTTTGATTAGATAAATGAAATGTTTTTTTATAGAAATTTGTACAATCCTCTTATTTTCAACGCCATGTGCGAACCAACGAATAGATTCATTGGATTCCTTATCGTGCGATGAACTTCGATATTTAACTTAAGGGGTTAAAAGATATTCTAATTGTACAAATACACTAATCTAAAAGATTAAAATGGAAAATATGAAATGACACTAGCACACGGAATTTAACCATTTTATCTAATTTTTTTACAGGTTAAATTCTAATATAGAATTCTAAATTCGTTCTACGCCTTACCAGGCATCGTATTAATGCATTTCCGCAAGATGGCATGCTGATCAAGTGCACCAATATCCAGGACCGTATTTTTAAGAACCCTTCTCGATAGCAGCATCATCATAATTGCATATAAATTTACAAATTAAAATATAAATATGTATATCTATGTATAATAAATAAATGTACATGTGTAATTGTCGTGTAAAACGTTTTCCATATATGTATGTATTGGATTAGATTATTATTTATACCTTTCTAATGGTTTATGCATATTCATTATTTTTATTTATCAATTAAGACCAAGTTTCAATTTGATAACGATTATTTTTTGCTAAATTTTCTATAAAATTTACAGCCTCCTCGTAAGTCAATTTCCCATTTTCTTTTACTAAATCGATAAATTCATCACGAACATTGTCCGGCATATTTTTTGAACTGCCCGCCAAGTAAATATTAGCGCCATTTTGAAGAAATTCCCAGCACAATGATTTATTTTCACGTATAATATGTTGCACGTATCTGAAATATGAATAGAAAGTAATAAAAGAAATTAGAAGTTATTTTTTATATAGGTTCTTACATTTTATCCTCTTGATCTCGAGAAAAGGCAGTAAACAATTTTAGACCATTTGTCCTGGCTAAATCAATGAAATCTTCTTTACAATGATAATCTTTTTCTTTGTATCTACATCCAAAAAATAATAAACATGCGCTGAGATCTTGTTTTGTGGCAGCTTTCTCTAAAAGTAACGATCTAAATGGTGCAACGCCTGTACCAGGTCCAATAAGAATTTTTGGCACGTTTGATGGAAAAATAAAAGTTCCTTTACGCATCCAAAAGATGATTTTACTATTAACTTTTAAACTTGCTAGCCAATTTGAACATAGCCCTAATCTACGTTCTAATAGTTTTGTTTTATAATTAACAACGGCAACTAATATATGTATTTCATTTTTTGTACTTCTCATACTTGATGCAATACTAAAAGCACGTGGTTTAATCGGTGACATGATTTCAAATAATATTTGGATATTTAATTTACTCGTAGTATGCGGAAAATCTGCTAAAACTTCAATAATATTTCTTCGTGGTCTATTAACATAACTGTATAATTCTTCTTGACCACTGGGTATGGTGAATTCGTGAAGCTTTTCTTTTTCCAAATCATTTTCGCTAATTTGATGTAATACTTCAAAGGTAGATCTTCGTGGTTTGTATGACAAATCCCAATACTGTGCTACAATTTCTCCAAGGGTTAAAGTTTGTCTTAAAACATAAGGTACTTTTATTTCTTTTTCCGACACTTGAACAATCATATCAGGATAAAGTAGGATGTTATTGTCATTCAGTACTTTAAAGAATTTTTCTATCTGTTTTAGAGAATTCTTTGGTCTTACATAAATTATATCTCCTGGTTCGTACATAATATCTTCTTTTAGAATTTTAATTAATCTAACATCTTGAAAGTGATCTTCAGCAGTAGTTCTTGTATTTTCGATAACAGTACCTAGTTTCATTTCATCTTTTAGATCCATTTCTCGTGTATAAATATCAGTCTCCAAATAATGAACTGTTTCCATTAATGATTTTTCTTTACTATCATCAAGTAAAGTAACCTTGTATCTTTCAATTATTCCTTCAACGTTATCATTAATATTTATCTCAGGAATATTATAAATAGAAGCAATCTTTTCCCAAAATTTCTTTACCCAGGGAGTAAGAACGGCATCTATACCTAAATCATGTTGATCATCCGCTAGACCTATCGGCAACAGTTCTATTCCGCCAAGTTGTGCTAGTCTTTTATTAAGCTTTTTAGCAGCGAAATTAAATTTTTTATACGAACTATCCCCAAGACCAATGACGCCATATCTAACATTACTAAGCATAGAAGGAGGAAGACTTTTGCGTAACAAAAATCTCCAGAACTGTTTCATATTATCAGGAGGATCTCCTTGCCCAGTTGTCGCAACAACAAAGACCATTACATCTTCCAAACCAAAATGAATTAAATCATAATCATCTAATGCAGATACTGTGCTGTTCAATCCTTTCCTAAAATAAAAATAAAAACTCTAAACAATACCTTAAATAAAACATCAACATAATTATTTTGTTATTAAACAATTTCAGTCATATTATTCTTTAATTCTTCAAAAAAATAAATTACCGAAAGAAAAACAATAAAACCTTTTGGCACTTTTCCAGATTTGTTCGGCCACATCTTGAGCTGTTCCGGTTTCGCTGGCATATAATATAGTTATACTAAAATTCATTATATCAACTTGTTGTTATGCCAACTAAGAAAAAAATAGTCTTTTTGATTAGTTAGTGGACAGAATAATAATACTTCGACCCAACACTAACCCCGAGAGTGCTTTTTCTTGGACAGCTGATAATTTGTGACGTCACTGTTCATTCAACTGAAGGTGGGCTCAGGTGAATTTGATTCTCTCGATAATCATTTCGAGATCTTTCACTCTAAAGATAACATTTTTATTTCGATAAAATCAACACGAATTTATATGATGACAATTTTTGATTCAATTAAATGTCAAGGTTAGCCAACATTTAGGCTGACAATCCTGCTTTTTGGCACGTGGCCTGAAGTATTTATAAATAAAAAAATATTCTACGCGTGTTCGTCGCATGAACGAGAATCATTCGGACGCTGTGAATTAGAACGTTGGAGAGGGGGTTAGAGAGGGGAGTAAGTAAGTGGCTGGGAAAGTGGTGGAGGAGGAATTGGAAAATTTCGCGCGTCTTTCTTACTTTTTTGATTTTTTACATTCCCTATTTATTTCTAAGATTTTTCTCTGCTTATTTTTTCTCATATTTTAAAAAGTCGACGTTTACTATTGACGCGTGGTATTTATTGAAATATTAATTTCAAGGACGCATGTATTTACATGTAGTAGGTTGTGTACGTAGGTTGCAAAGGTCAAGAAGAAGAATCAGTATGAAACAAAAAATGACAAAAAATAATTAAGGTTGAGAGACAAGTGGTAGATAAGGATTCGGCGTTTTTAAATATTTAGATATATAGATAAATGACAATAGATTGGGAGAGACAAAGGTATAAATACCAAAGATGAGGTTAGAAAGATCATTGTCGGTTTTAGCGTATTCACAGTATCCTATCCGTGACGTAACAGAGCGGAACGTCGTATCTCGTATGCATGCACACATATTACGCTGGCAAATCCGAGCGAAACGGTGTTGGCAGCACTGACGTCTGTTTGCTGCGGATGACTGTCAAAACCTACTTTCTCGATCAAGTCGACAGATTTCTCGTGTCGGATGGAAAACTGGACACGATGAATTTATCCAATTCGTAAAGTTTAAAGGACACATTCGTGCTTGGCCACGGATCTTGCGTTTAAAGTGCGTTTTTTCTTATTTCATTTGAAAATCTAAGTGTGTGAGTGAGCAAATTAGTGAATAAGTTAGTTAGTTAGTTAGTGAGTGAGTGAGTGGTGAGTGAGTGAGTGAGTGAGTGAGTGAGTGAATGAGCGAGTGCAAAAGCTCCAAACGTTTGTTGTTCTTCTTTCGTTGACTCTTCGTCTCGATTAAAATTTATCCATTAATCCCATTGCTTACTCCTTCGATGGGTTTTGGGCCATCGTGTCTTCTTCGGCGGAAAGGAAAACGTCACCGATTCGAACGCCAAGAAAAAAAATTTCCTACTTTCGCCCTTGCGTTTATTGACGCGCGAATCTTCTGTCTTAACCTCTATTATTATTATCATCATCCTTTGTTAAATGCGCCTACTGTGGAGTGCTCGAAATAGTGTATGAGAGACCGACAGAGAGACTTATTCTCTCCTCTTTTTCTTCTTCATCTTCTTCATCTTCTTCATTTTCATCATCTATACTTTTTTACGAGAGCCAGCTGATTGGAATCATCGTCATCGTTTCAATGGAACTTATTATGTATGCCTGACAGCTAACCGTTTAAAATCGACGTACTATTTCACCAGGTAAATTTATTCTTGTCATTACTCTCAATAATTATGTTTATCTTCTTCTAACTTTTGCATTCTTTCTCTTTCTCTTTCTATTTCTATTTCTATTTTTTTTTAAATAAATTTTAAAGTATTGTCATATTATTTGATAGAGATTGTTATTGTTCTGTTTGTTTCTTTTTCAGATATTAACATCTTCAGTATTTTGGGAAGAATTAGAGTTCCATAATAATTTCCAATCAAAATGCTTGCCCCATGACCAAAAGTTTATTATGTAAAAAGTACAAGACAACCATATCTGCCAAAGCAAGTTAAATTCAATGCTATATATATATGCTGTGAAGTGTAGTTTATTGCTATGTTACTAAATATCATAATTTTATATTCTGTTTATTATTACGAACAATATTGTTGTAAAATTGTGTGAAGAGAAAAGAAAAGAAAGAAAGAAAAGAAAGAAATATTTAAATTAAATATTAATAAGATATTTTGTGTGTATGGTAGAGGTACAACAGAGTTTTCACTATCAAGAATTATTCATTGAAAATGAATAACAGACTTGAAGAGGCAGAGTCAAAATGGACTTGTGAATATTGTACGTATGAGAATTGGCCTTCATCATTGAAATGCACAATGTGTAGAGGTGCCAAGCCTTTATTGGGTGAAGATATTTATCGCTTACGTAATACAAGTCCACAAAGGTCAGGATCAAACGTTGCTTCTGGTCCTGTATCTCATATAAGTCCAACAGATTCTTATAATCAAACCTCTCAGAACTATAGTCATAATGTACCAGCTGGAGGAATGTGGTCATGTGGCATATGTACCTATCTCAATTTTCAAAATGCCTCACGCTGTGTTCAATGCAGTAATAAGAAACCTGCTGGACACAATCAGTCAATAAACTCTATAGCTTCCAATTTACATGAACATCTAGCGCCACTTAGATTAGCTGATCCTCCGCCTAACTTATGCTCTAATTCTCAAGTTAATCCACCGGCAATAAATTTGCATCCTGAAAGGTACTATAATGTACAGACTAATGCTCATCCTGAAAAATGGTCCTGTCTTGTATGTACTTACGAAAATTGGCCAAAAGCTACTAAATGCGTTATGTGTTTTCATCCAAAAGAAAAAGATAAAAGAGAGAGATCTGCAGCTAATGTAGGTTTAATTTTACCGAGTCCTGAGAGAGATCATAATCAACGCAGCTTACCTTCTCCACCTCACGCACCTTATATTCATCAAACGCAACGAGAGGAGAATTCTGCTATCGCAAGAAGGTGGTTACTTTAGCTTTAACTTTATCAGTTAATTCCAATATGATTTTAATTTATTTGCCTAATGACATAGTACCAAATGTGTTGTATTTTATAGAAGCTCACACAGATTTACCGATAGTAGAAACGACAGTTTATCAACACCGCAATCTCCTAACAATTGCGATTATGAGCGTAGATTGAAGCAATTAAGACGTCATACGGATTGGTGCTGGTTAAATGCATGTCTTGGTATCGTTGAAGGCGACAATGCACCCGTTGAAGCATATTTAGCAAGCGGTGGTGATCCAGCTCGTCAATTAACACATTCTGAAGTACTACTCTTAAACAGAAGCAGTGCTTTCGACGTTGGGCATACTTTAGTACATTTGGCAATCAGGTTTGTTTTTTGTTCCTGCATTTTACAAATATAAAATTTTCAAAACATCTCATTTATTCCTTATTTTTAGGTTCCAACGAGAAGATATTTTAGCTACATTATTATCGCAAATAGAAGGTTCCGGTTCTGGTGTAAAAAGAGTACCTAGTTACGTAGCACCTGATTTGGCTGCTCAAATACGTAGGCATGTAATGAATAATATTCGTTTACGCAAGGGTTCTTTCTCTTGTTATTTTGTTACTGATATGGCTACATTTGCACTGCCTGCAGAGGTTATTATAAAAAAAATTCACTTTCTAAATAATGATGCTATATTAAAATTATCTAAAAAAAATATTCATTATTTTTACATAGGTGGAAGATTTACCGAGTATAGTGCAAGAACAAATGTTAGAAGAATTGTTGGATAAAGAAGCTCAACAACAGCTGGAAGGAGGTGGTGGCGAACCACCTGCTTTAAATTGGTCCTTAGAAATAACAGAGCGATTAGGCAGCCGTTTGCATGCACTTTGGAATAGATCTGCCGGGGATTGTTTATTAGATTCTGCTATGCAAGCTACCTGGGGTGTTTTTGATAGAGATAATGCTTTAAGAAGAGCTCTTGCCGATTCTTTACAACAAGCAGGACAATTGTAAGTAATTATTAAGATAAATTTACAAAAAATTTTTGTTAATCACATTAAGAAAATGAGTAATTAATATATTTCTATCTTGTATGTAATATAATTATTACTTCAGTTTTTATCCTCGATGGAGAGAGTATGAGGCATCGCAAGCTTCAAGAATGTTAGATTTTACATTAGAAGAAACACAATGGCAAGAAGATTGGGAGAGTTTATTAGCAACAGCTGCTCAACCTGGCAGCGCTCTAGAACAATTACATGTATTTGCACTTGCACATATATTAAGAAGACCTATTATTGTTTATGGTGTTAAATATGTTAAAAGTTTCCGTGGTGAAGACATAGGTAAGAAACTACTTTAAAAAATAGTTTATATCTCCTTCAATATTCTAATGCATTATTTTATTTAATTATCTAGGTTATGCAAGGTTCGAAGGCGTTTATCTTCCACTTTTATGGGAACCTTCATTTTGTATTCGTTCTCCCATAGCATTGGGCTATACACGTGGTCATTTTACAGCTTTGGTTCCTATCGAACCATATGCGTCCTCTAGAATACCACCGATTTCTTCTCACGGTGGAGGAAATGGTCCATTACAACAACTGCAAATACAAATGCAAACTACTTTTATGCCATTAATGGACAGAGAACATAAATTATTACCAATTCACTTTTTGAATCCAGACGAAATTGGACGAGAAGAGTCTATTTTAAAAGACTGGCTTGATGTTTGTAGGACAGAAGGTGGTATTCTCGTTGCACAGCAAAAATTGCATAAGAGGCCACTACTTGTTGCACAAATGTTAGAAGAATGGCTCAATCATTATCGCAGGCTAGTGTGAGTACAATATTAAGAATAGTAGTATCATAAGTATTGTGTTTACAAGTTTAAATAAATTTATATAATGATAGTACTTGTGTATTTTGTCTTTCAGTCAAACAAATAATGCACCATTTTCAAGACCAGTTGCTTTACAAGATTACAGTAGCGATGGTGATACGGAAGACGAATAATAATGTCCAGGCACTTGATCAATAACGAGAATGTCCTTTTTCTATAATTTCGCTGTCAATGCTAAATCTAGAATTATGAACGCAAGATCTTTACGATCCGAAGTCGGTGAAAATATATTTAAAGATAAAAATTTGACTCAATATTATGATAGCATGCACAATGTTGTACGGATAATGATCGTTTCGCAATATCTTTCTATTATACAAAAATTTTCTCCGATTCTCTATTTAATTAATCTTTGTTATAAAAATAGTTATTTAGAAATGTTCTTGTGTAATTAATCGAGACATTTCATACCTTAAAAAATATGCATAAGTGTGATATAATAGTATATATTGTCAATTACAAAATTAAGGTTTTACAGTGATAATATTATCGTTTGCACAATTTCGTATAGAATAGTAATACAAAAGTCTCATCAATTTTTCAAGAATATTAATATATGAAAACGAAACTGTGGATAAAGGATATCTCGTTTCTTTGAAGTAGTGTCCTATCGATAATAATAATGATAATATCTACAAGTCATAGCCATAAAATCTCATATATGTTTACAAATTTTCAAAACCATCTCTCTCTCTTCATCGGAGTGTGTATAAAAAAAAAAGAAAAGAAACGTTTGATGGTTCTAATACAGACCACGTGATCATTAATTAAAATTAGTATTTAAAAAAAGAAAAATTCATGTGTATAGCTGTCTTTGAATCAAGTTAACTACGAACTGCGTTAATTAACTATGAAGCCAGATACAACGACATGTTTCTTCATTGAGAGAGACAGGATAGGACACGTCGTGTTTCTTTCTATGGTTGCTCCTGGTTATGGTGTGTTGATAACGCATTGTGATATCAATCGAAAATCGTATTTTTTTTTCCCGTATGATAAAATCTGTGAGAGAGTGAATGAATTAATTATACTTTGTAGTATCGCAATCATTAAGATAGTTTAACGTTACTGAGAGTAAAGAGCTTTTTTTAAAAGCGATAAGAACTAAAAAAAAAAAAAGAAACAGAAGTAGTTCTACTTAATAATTAAGGATTATTATTATATCTGGTAAAAAAAAAAACACACACACACACACACATACACACCAATAATATATAATATGATGTATTTGCAGATAACGAGCAAAGATTTACGATATATATATTTGGCTTGGCCAAAACGATTAACCCTAATCAAAAAGTACAAAAAATCGTAAAAAGAAAAGTCATTTCTTTATAAATGTTAAACTATTCGCTTAAATTTAGTCTTTGTTTTTACTAATCCTAATGTAGTGTCTAGTCCTTTTAGCACTGTCATTTTTCTAATCGCATTATGAAGTTTGCGATTTACCAACCCTGTTGTTGTGTTATGAAGAAGTTATGATATGTTTCAAAAAAATACACAACACGTATCAATATTTCAATATTAATAAGTAATGTGCATCCTGTTTCGTAAAAGTAAAATTGAAAGAGTTTTGTTATTATTCTATAGTTTATTTTTTATTTCTTTTTTTTTTTTGATTTTGTTTCCTTCTTTTTTTTTTTTTTAAATCGCAATGATATTAACTTTCTTTGTTGAAAAACGAAAAAGCGTTATATTTTCTCTCATTAACTTTCTGCCACTCTACACATGGCAGCCTTCACGTGGTGTGATTAAAATATTAATAATGATGCTATGCGGTCGTATTTCATTTCCGATAAGTGTTTTTTGCTCTCGTTGCCAGGATTTATAAGGCAAGTGATAAATATAAAGTTTTAAAAATTTAATCTATACAAATAGAATTCTATATTAATATAGAGTATATATTATATAGATTATATTAAATAATATATCGATGTACAATAATTCTAAATAATGATTTATTATTATTATTATTATTATTATTATTATTATTATTGCATCGTTATCATTATCATAGTCATTATTATAATATTGTCATCATTTACTATCATCGTCACCGTTATCATCATCATTATTATTATTATTATTACTGCTACTATTCTAATATTATTGTTATTATTATTAACATCATTAACTATTATTAATTCTATTACTACTACTATTACTACAAAGATTATACGAATCGTAATAAGAAATATTGAGTTAAATTAATAAAAGCAGAGGTTCTATTCTCGATTTTGTGCGGATTTGTTTTTGCTATTGTCTTTTTATTTATTTATTCTTTTTTTTTTTTATTTTAGATTATATATGATTTATTCTTAATTTTTAAATTATGCAAATGTATGCATGTATCGTTACACATAAGGGTACATATAAAGAAAGTTAATTGCATGAATTTGAGAATAGGTACATTCTGGCCTATTTAATACCTATTTAAAAAAAAAAAAAACAAAAAACAAGATTAATCCTGATCATCAATCATGCTACTAAAAACACAAAATTGCAATTTCTTATATCTTCCATATTAAAAAAAAAACTAAGTAGTAGTATTAATTTATCAATTAATCGTTCATAGATTATTACAAAGTCTATAGAGGTCCTTAAATATTTGTATAAAAGAAAAAGGAACATTTATATATATATATGTGTGTATATATATATATATATATATATATATATATACATTATTTTTGTTGAAAAATTTATTCTGTCATGATAATTATTACAATTGATTATTATATTTCTTTTTCTCAAATGGAACCAAATATTACACAAATTAATACATATCTAATGTTAATTATGCCAATGATGGAAGACTCATTCTAATGAGAGAGAAAGAGGGAAGAAAATATTATGATTAATAAGATGATTTGAAATGAATACATATTATATGTGAAAAGAAAGAATACAGAATGTATATAATTTACATTGGAATTGATTTTTACGTAAATGTATAAAGCATTCAGATATTTTGTTTTTTTTTCTTCAACATGATAATTGACATAACACTTTTACAACAAAATCTCACAAGCATGAACATAATGCATGATATATTTCTTTTCTTGTTTTTTTCTTTTTTTTTTATAAATATACAAACACTTTATTTGTGATATGTATATAGTAAATTATCGGTTTCCTTATTAACAATAGATATGTAATAAAGAAATACAGACATAAAAAATTTAAATTAGAATTAAATATAAAAAAATATTAAAACAATAGGGATTATGTTACAAGGATTACATGTTTTTTTTTTATATGTAAATGCATCGTTTTTTTCTTTCTTGTTTTTTCTGTTTAAGAAGTTTACATAAATTTATGTAAATTAGCTTTCTTGGAAGGAATGCTTGGCACTGTGGAAAAATATAATTTATGCAACACAAACATACTTTCGACTATACTTTCGTATAAAATATCTTTCAAATTAACTTTGTTATCCAGATAGTCGACAACGAACAATAATACTATATTTTTCCATAATTCAAGCATCGATATTTTGAGAAACTTAAGATACGTATATTTCAAACGAGACCAGTCACTCGGAGATCGATTTTCAATGATACATACAATATTAAAATGCATCACAGCTGAAAAACAAAGTATTATATAAGCTGTATAATTTCTTTCTCTCCTTTTTTATTTTTTTTATAAACACATTCTATCGATGATTATTACGTTACATATGAATGAAATGCAATATATCGTTGCTCAGGAAAAAGCATACCTGACAAATCGAGTACAGCACCGTACAAAAAAAAGATTTCATTGATATCTCGATGATTACAATTCATCTTTCTCATCCAAAACAAAATCGGTAAGATCGATATCTTCTTCTTGTGGAGGCTCGGCATCTTTACCGTCCCATGGTGTAATTTCAATTATAGAAGGTAATTGAGCACCTTTCAAAGGAGCAGTTCCACCACGTCCGTAACTTAAATCTCTCAAAAATTCATTTATTCCGTCGTATGAAAAACTTCCTTTCAATAAGGAATACTTCATTTTTTTAATATTTACTGCTGCCAAAGCTGGATAACCAAATCCTCCAATTTCCAATGCTTCTTCAATGTTTGGTTGAGCTCCTGCCTCTGACCAAACCCATCTACAACATCAATTATAATATATAAACAAAATATTTATATATAAAAAAACAAAAATAATCAAATATTTGATAAGAATACATACCCCCACATTTTCTTTTTATAATTCTTTCCAAGATCGCGTAAAACTTTTAGGTATTGATTTCTGCATTCTGATTGACAATCTAATATATGTGGTAATACTGAAACTACACAAAGAGGTTTATCTTGACATGCACTCCTTAAGCTCTTTTCATCGACTATTTGAACTACTTCGGGTGCTGGAATATTTTCGGCTAATTTATCCAAAGCCCAGTTAACAATATCGGTACTTGTACGACCACCATCATATTCTTGTACAGAGTCAGCACCTTTCTTGCCTAATGGGAAATACTTGATAGTCGGGTATCCCACTATTTTATATTGACTAGCCTGTAATTGAATTTATTTACAAACCATAATGAAAATTGTAAAGATTAATATTACATGTAGTAAGTAAATAATTTACCTTGACAGTATGTACAGTTGCATCAAGAGCTCCTAATTTTACTTTGCCTTTAAGTTCCGTAGCCGCAGAAGCCCAGATAGGTGCCAAATTTTTGCAGTGTCCACACCACGGGGCATAGAATTCAACTAACCACATATCTTCTGAATTCAATACTAATTTGTCAAAATTCTCATCAGTAAGTTCCACAACATCCTTAGAATCTTTAGCTTGCTAGAAATTTTAAAATGATGTTTTTGTGAGCATTTAAAATTGTTTTTATTTACATATATATTATGCTGATAGATGATTAACTTACTTTATGACCACTACCACCACTGCTACCGCCACTCTTTTTGCTACCTATTTTAGCATATGCTCTCTGACTAACAGCAGTTGTTGCAGCTTCAATGAGACCAGCTGCTGTACGAGGACCATTGAAATCTTCCGGTTTATTTTTATCTTTACTAAAAATTTTAACCGTTGGAAAACCACGTACGTTAAATCTAGATCCAAGAGATTGATGTTCGTCTGCATTCACTGCTCCAAATTTGATGATGCCCTAATAAAAAAATGATATACATCAGAACAATAGATAAATAAAGAACATCAATTAATTATCATTTACTATGAGTTTACCTTCAATGCTGTTGCTGCTTTGTCATATTCAGATACAAATTGTTGACAGTGTCCACACCATGGCGCATAAAATTCTACGATCCAGATATGTTCGCTATCAATTACTTTACTATCAAAATTACTTGGTGTCAGATTGATGACATCTGAATTAGATGAATATAAACAATGTGCACCGGTAACTAAAACTAATAAACCTGAAACACACAATGACAATTTAAATTATCAGAAACAATAATCTAATAAAATTGAACATTTATTTTAAATTTAATACCATTAAATTTAAATTTTATTTAAATACTCATTTGTGATAACTGTCAAAATTAATTTTGTTATAAATTGGTAAGATACACCGTTTGTCTAATTAGTTATGATATAAATGAAATGATTAAATGAAAATAAAAATAAAAATCTTAGTTTAAAATACTTTTATTAAAATATAAACCAAATGAAATGTGCGATGATAGATTGATAAGCCGGTACGATAATTTTCTGTAAACGTATTTACAATTTGTTAAAAATTAATTAAACTCACCTAGAAGAATCTGCATTTTTCTTAGCAATTCAATACAATTTATTGACAAAATTCTTTTGTAAAAAAAAAACAATTCTTAAATACCAATCATTAAATACACACTCGTATCGTAACGTGTCCTTTATCCATATAAAGTAAGATTGTTCTTTCTATCAGTGGTTATGTCTGATCGCCTACAGCTTTTCGTGGACGATTCTGATTGGTCTGTGATTATCAACAAATAAAAAATTAAGAAATTAAATTCTTTTCAATTTTTTTTTCAGAAAAATTCATGTTAATTAATTAGATTCTACTGAATTTGTTTAAATTAAATTATCTATTATAATAATTTTCCTTCTTTTATTAATTTTGTTAATTAATTTACACACACATATACACATTTTTATATCAATTTAGTGTATGAATTTTGATAAGATTCAAATAATTTGACGTATAAATTCAACGAATCCTATTGGTCGTTGACATAAATGTATAGAAAAAATAAAAATAGACTGCGATGTTATGAAATATTTTAATTAAGTAAATATTTATAATCAAAATTGGTTTCTATTAAAAAATTTACTTCGAATATTCATTTTAGTAAATGTTACTTAATTTTATAAACAAAAAGATTAAAAGGTTGTTGAAATTTATTTCTAAGTTGCAATATGCAAAAACGTGAACCAATAGAAATGTATTTTTTATTATAACGCGAAAACTAAACAGAAAGTACAATGGTTTACTAAATATATTTTATGGTTGGTTAATGTTTCAGTGAAATAACACCGGCATTATATTTTAATTTTAGAATTATTGTAAATCAGATTAATGTTAATGACAGATTCTATAAAGTATTAAATTGTTATAATATATATGTATATATATATAATCAAATAATTTATAACATTATTGAAGGGATAATTAACCTAAAACAGTAATTAATTGTATCAACTACAATGACTGATATGGATAAATTACAATTACGTACGTATTTATTATTATCTCATATTATAACGAATAGTATTAATTATTATTTCTATTTTTATATATCATAGCTGATGATCATGTGTTCGTCGTTCCAAGTAGAGCTATTAAAGTTCCGCTTGATATGGCTGTTTGGGAGAAGTCCGAAGCATATTTTGTAAGTTATTGTTTATTTTAATATTTATTATTAAATGAGCTGTTAAATATTTATCTATAGATTATTAATTGTCTTTTATTTTTATACATTTTATCCATTACATAGGAATATCTAGGATTTATATTAGCATTAAATAAATCTATAGAAGGAAAATCTCTAGACTTTGAATGCGAACAATCTCCAGCGGTTAAAAATATTTTAACAATGATTGATAATTTAGACGAATGGATAACGCAGATACCACCAACTGAACAACCTCAACGATTTGGAAATAAATCTTTTAGAACCTGGCATACTAGATTGCGAGAGGTACAATTATTATATCTTTTTTTTTTGTATATATTACTTATTATATTATTACTTAAAATCTGGTAGTCTGATACTTTTTTGTATTTGGTGCACTGAGCACAAAGCCTTTTAGCTTCTTAATTTGACATTAAAACAGTCTTGTATTATTTATTAAAGTCTAATATTAGTTCATTTTTACAGAAAGGCACAGAAGAGTTACAGCAAGCATTACCAGAAAAATTACATAGAGCTATACCAGAAATAATTCAATATTTATACGAAAGTTTTGGCAATGCTACACGTATCGATTATGGAACAGGACACGAAATGGCATTTTTAATGTTCTTATGTTGTTTGTTCAAAATTCAAGCTTTCAAAGAAAATGATAAAATTGCTGTTGCTATAAAAGTATTTAATAGGTATTAATATTTCTAAAATATATTTTATTCGTTCTTGTCTTTACATTAATATTTATATTTATATTGTATGTTTTTTTTTTTTTAAATAGATATTTACTATTAGTACGTAGACTTCAAATAACATACCGTATGGAGCCAGCAGGTAGTCATGGTGTTTGGAGTTTGGATGATTATCAATTTGTACCTTTTATATGGGGAAGTTCTCAATTGATCGGTAAAGAATTATTTCTACGTGATATATATATATATTTTTTTTTTTCGTTATAGATGATGAAAATTTAATATATAGTACATAATTATACTTTATAAATAAAAGACATATAATTTTAGGTCATCCACGAATCGAACCTCGTCATTTTGTAGATCAAGATGTTGTAGAACTTCATGCGAAACAATACATGTTTCTTGGGTGTATAGAATTTATCTCGAAGGTATATATTCGATTAAGATTATATTCAAATTATTTAAATAGGAAGTAAAGAGAGTAATATATTTATATGAGAATTGTTGTGTGCCTTATGCTTCATTTCTGTATGAATGTTGCTTTAAGTTTCAATATTTGCTCTTAATTATGACAGATATATCATATTAGGTTAAGATAGGACCATTCGCAGAACATTCAAATCAATTGTGGAATGTGAGCGCAGTCTCATCATGGTCGAAAGTTAATAACGGGCTTATTAAGATGTATAAAGTGGAGGTAAATTTCATATTAAATGAAAACTATTAATAACCAAATTGAAATAAATTTTAAAATTTAAATTTTAGGTATTATCAAAGTTTCCTGTAATTCAACATGTTTTATTTGGATCTTTGCTACCAATAAAACCAGCCACTACTTGTCCTAATGTCAGAGGTGCTTGTCTTGATCCTCCACTACTACCACCACCGCAATTACATTAATTTATCTTAATTCATTAAATGAATTAATTAATTCATTAGTTAATTTTTTTATTTTTCATTTCTATATTATCTATAAAAATCTTATAAATCAATCTTTTATCATATGGTGATATTTAGGCCTAGGCTATTATAAAAATTAAAATATAGCCTGAATTACTGTTTAGCAATAAATTTGTGAATTTTAGAACATAAGCAACAGAATATTATAACTTTTATGTGAAGATATTTCAATAAATATGTCTTACTGTTAAATAAATATTTAACAGATCGTTATTCTTATATATATCATGAACTTTTAATTAACTTTTATATATTATAAACTTAAAAACCTTATGAATGAAACTGTTTTATTCTAACCTAAAATGTGATCATACGATATATAAAGTTTTATTGTCACTTCTGATATATATTATAGTACTGTTTATAAAAATCTAAACAATAAATAATTTTGAGTATATACACGTCTACATATATTTCCGTAATTTTAAGGTTATGTCTAAAATGTTACCAATTGATGCAACGTAGTCGAATGTATGCTTATCTGTGTAGATAAGTGTTCCGTTTTTATACATATACGTTAACAAATGTGTTTTATTTACAGTTATTCATTCATAATAATATACTTTTATTATCTTTTTAAAGAATAATTTCTGTTTATGTTTATTTGACAGATAAGTTATTTATTACTTTATTTAATAAAAATTATAAAATTTGTTAAAATATTTTGTAACTTTGTTATTAACAATATATTTTCATAAAAAATGATGTTAAAAGCTGTTATATTAATTGGTGGCCCTTTAAAAGGTATGTTAACCTAAAAAAATTTTCTTCTTCCATTTACAAAGCTATGATTTATAATATATTTTAATAATTATAATTGTATTTATTTTAATAGGCACCAGATTTCGACCACTCTCATTAGATATACCTAAACCACTGTTCCCAGTTGCTGGTTTACCAATGATTCAACACCATATTGAAGCATGTTCCGAAGTACCTAATTTAGAAGAAATTTTAATTATCGGTTCATATCCTGCTAATGAATTATCACAATTCATAATGGATATGAAAAGTACATACGGTGTAATTATTAGATACTTACAAGAATTCACACCGTTAGGTACAGCCGGAGGCATGTATCATTTCCGAGATCAAATACGTTCTGGTAGTCCAACATATTTTTTTGTAATAAATGGAGATGTATGTGCCGATTTTCCCTTACAAGAGCTCGTAGAATTTCATAGTAAAAAGCAGGCATTGTTAACTATTATGGCTACAGAAGCTACTAGACAGCAATCATTAAATTATGGTTGTATGGTTTTGGGTAAGGATGGAGAAGTGGCACATTATGTCGAAAAACCATCGACGTTTGTATCTACTCTTATTAATTGTGGAATATATATTACATCTCCTAATATTTTTCAATCAATGGCAGATGTTTTTAATGCTAGCCAACAACAAGAAAATTGTTTGTAGGTATCATTATCATATGGATATTTACTGCAAGATTTATCGCTATTTTATTGTACTTGTATATTCTAATATAATTAATTTTTTTTTTGTTTCTTTTAATGAGACAGACAATTAAATGGAAATGGTAGAGATCCTGCAAATATTGCATTAGAACAAGATATAATAACACGACTAGCAGGAAATGGATGTTTGTTTGCTTTACCTGTTACAAGGTGGTGGTCACAGTTAAAAACAGCAGGATCTGCCATTTACGCAAATCGACATTATTTATCTTTATATAAAACTAAAAATCCGGGTTATCTTACTTCTCCAAGTTCAAATAAATGTAATATCATTGGAGATGTATACATTCATCCAACAGCTACTGTTCATCCATCTGCTTTGGTGATATTAATATAAAATTTCTCTAATAACTACTTTAATAAGATAGAATATTGTTAATTTTCATTTTATTGTTACAGTTAGGACCAAATGTTAGTATAGGAATGAATACAGTTATCGAAGCTGGTGTAAGAATAAAAGAATCAATTATTTTGGCCAATGCGCAGATTCAAGCACATACCATTATTTTAAATAGTATAATAGGAAAAGGTAGTCGCGTTGGAGAATGGGCACGCATTGAAGGTACTCTGTGCGATCCAAATCCTGACAAACCATTTGCTAAGATGGAAAATTTACCTCTCTTCAACATCAATGGCAAATTAAATCCTTCCATCACGATACTTGGTATTAATCTGAGAATTTCATTTACAATATAATTATATATGCTACGAATATTTCAATTCATTCAATAATTCATCAATTATTTACGTATATTTCAGGCACAAGCGTTACATTAGCATCAGAAAAGGTTCTATTAAATTCTATTGTATTGCCGCACAAAGTATTATCGAGAAATTTTAAAAATGAAATAATTTTATAAATATTTTTTTTGTTTTTCTTTTGTACATTATTGGAAATAAATAAAATGGTAATAAATGTCTGTGTGTGTGTACGTATGTGTGTGCTATAATATTCACGCACAATTAAAGCATATTTCAATTTAATATGTAATACATGTAAAAAGATAAGATTATTTATAGTCAATTAAATAAACTTTTGTATCGTTTGGATGCATGATCACCAAAGCTGATAGAACATCGAAGGCTTAATAACTTTGTATTATACACTATAGACTGTTTTTCTAAATATAACGTACGAGATGGTTTCTATCGAAATTAAAAACGAATAATAAAAAATACATTTTATACACAAATTATCTAATATATTAATGTTTCACAATGAAGGAATAAAAGATTGTATTACACGATATAAATTTATTTCATGTACTTATTTATTATATGCTGTATTAAAATAATTGTTTGTAAAAACAATACAGTACAACTCATAACACCTAAATACATTGACTCGTACAATAATTTAGGTGCGAATACACTCCATATAAATAAATGATGTTTATGTATTGTCATTACAAACGTATAAATAATAACTGGTATTAACTTCCATATCATATAAATTCTGTTGTCGAATAATAGTATATAATGTAAACTAAAAATAAATGAAAAATAGTTTTTATATTTATAGGATTTTATAATAAAGGGATTTATTAATAATATAAAGAACATATACTTACATTTGAGCCGATTTATACGATAATGTTCTGTGATACATGTTTAAGAAATAAGCTAAAACTGGTGCAGAATATGTATTTACTATTAAAAACATTCCAATAATAAAAGGTCTGTATGATTGCAAACCAACATAACCAGCTGAAATATCGATATCAGCAAGACTATTAGAATTTCCCTATACAAAAAAAATATTATAAATTAATGAAGGAATATTGCATTAATTATATTACTAAATTATTGAAAAATAAAAATAATTAATTAAATGAATACCTGATAAAAGTAAAACACATTTCCAATCCAGGCATTTACAAATATATTCATTTTTTCCATATTATTATATTTTAATATCGAATTAATTATAGAAGTAACTAGTAATTGTAATGGAAGTAATATTAAATTGTACGGTTGGTGTAACAATGCCGATACCATAATCCATGCTTGTACAAAAAAAAGTATGGCATAATTTAAGAAATTATTTTTGTTGCGTTTTGTTATTAAAAATAATCTGTACATAGAGTATATACAGAATATTATAAATAAGTTCCAAAATATCAATACTTCTTTTCCATCTCTGAAATAATATGATATTTTTTTAATTTTTATCAGATACAACTTAAAGAATACTTACTTAGATGGTGAGTATAGTGATATAGGTAGGATAGTTTGATTGTTGATGTGACGAAGATAAATGCATAAGGACAATCCTATATTCAAAAATAAACTGTACCATCTATAAATTGATTTTTCAGTTACAAAATTAATACATATTAAAAGTGTGAGAGCTAAAACAAGAAATTTATAAATTATAACAAATGTTTTATTTATAATATAGATCAAAGCTTCTCAAATATTTTCATGACACCCATATAACTCTATATAAGAAGCTCTGATATAAATACACATATACGAATAATTACCTATAATAACCAAGATCGTTATACTGATTTTAGATTCTTCTTTTAATAAATATCCTGCGATATCGGGAAGATGATTATATTTATTACCCGTACTGTTTAACATTCGACAGATTCTGTGCCCTATGAGTAATAATAATATTTCAATAGAGATCAGATATTGTGTACTATCTATGCGTATCCTAAAAATATAAATTAATAGATTAAGTATATACTTTTGACTTAATCTCATTAAAAGTTAGATTGTGAAAATAGTTTACTTTAAAAGTTCCATTGTAAATATTTTGCTATTTTTATAAAGCAACAACGTGAGGAAGGAAACCCAAAAGAAATACCAAGTTTGATGTTCTTCTTCCACAAAACTACTGCTAATTAGACTTGTAGAATGTATTAATGTTCCAGAGATAAAAATCCATTCGAATGTATTATAGTTTTTTAACTGGTCAAAAATTTATGAATTAATATTGGAAATATGTATATATAATAATTATTTATATTACATACCTTTGTCAATATAACATTATGATATTTGATTTTAGCGAGAAAATAACAATTTAAAAACAATAATCCAATAATACTTAATATAAATATACAATTTGTTCTATTATCAAAAAGAGCTAAACTTAGAGTTTCAATACTACAGAAAGAAATTAATATTATCAGTAAAAATAAATGTATCGCAAATAATTTCAACACTTTTTGAAAAATTGCTGATGAATAATATTGTTCGTGTAATAATATCCATAAGACCTAAAATACACACAAATTAAAAAATTCTACAGAGATATATATATATCCTGATGTTTAATCTACCAAATTAAATAGATTATACGTACATGACACAAAAAAAACATGGCCGTAATCATTAAATATGTATCATTTTTTAACATGTTTTTGACCAATATTTCTTTCATTTCATTAAGTGCTGAACGATATGCAGCTATAATATGATATTCTGTTTCATACGGGTTATTAGGTGATTTCATCCAATTGAGATGAAGTTTAATTGCATCCATATATTTATGATGAGCATCTGTAAAACTAATTTTAAATATCAAATTTTTGATATACTTATTTCATTTACTATTTATAGATATATATATTGTTTAATAACTTACATTGAAAGTTGTAGTCAGTCAATTTTTTGAATTGAGTATGAACTTGTTTAGCATTATAATAAAGTGCAAATAATTTTCTAGAGATAGGTAAATTATCTAATAACTCTAATGCAATGCTTCCAAAATTGGAATATGGTATTGGTAAACCCAACATAACAGATAACGTTGCTGCCATATCTAATTGAGCTATTTTTTTTGGTTGACTATATGATTTAGAACAATTAGCTCCAATCGCAATAATAGGAACCGTTGTTTCTTGAAAAGTTGCACCTCCATGACCACCAGAATCTTTCATACCATGATCTCCACAAATTATAAATAAAGTTGAATTACCAATCTCATTCTGATAAAACATAAAACCTTTTAATAATTTAAAGAACCTTGTATCAATAATATAAATAAACTTTTATCAATATTATTGTCAACTGACCCAATACAACATTTTAGAATATATTTGCCCTATAATATTATCCATTTCAGTAAGCTTAGGTTTGATCAAAGGACTAAATGGTCCATTTACGTGACCAATATGATCTAATCCTAAATAATGGAGTATCATTATTGACCAATCATTATTATGGAGTTCATTATCTATGTGTCGTGTAACATTATTATCCACCTAAATATTATTAGATTAATTAGTTTATAAATAGTATAAAATATATAGTTTATTAATAGTATAAAATAGATAAGAGAAATTATCAATTTTTAATTCCATACCTCTGTAAAATCAGAAACAAAAAATGACGTGGTACCATCGGAACGTTTAAACATAGTAGGGAATAATTTCAGCCAAGTATCATCTCCATAAAATATTATATCATGTCCATAAGTCTTTGCTTGGAGTAAAATATTGTCACTTAAAATAGGTTGGCTTCCAAAGTTTAAAACCATGTCGACAAAAGTTGGTACTCTGCCTGTTGTCATTGCCTATTTTTTTTTTTTTTGTAATACTTTTAAGTTAAAACGCTTGATATTTTTTAGTAAAATTAAATTATAAATCATACTTTTATTCTAGGCATTGTCACTGTTGGCGGTTCTACTTTTGCTTGCAATAAACATGCTAACGAATTCTCAATGAGTTTATTTGTTATCGGCATAGCAGATTTTCCAATTGAATCGGATACAAAATCCCAACGGAATGCATCAATTACCATGATGATTAATTTATTCACCAAAGGTTTATATAAAGTATTTGTTTCTATCCTGAAACATAAAATATTATTTTAATAAAAAATACTATGCATTTTTATAACTACATTTTTTAAATGATTTATATTTTCATTCAAAGTTGTATATAAACATACTTTTCATTATCTATAAATTGTGGTATATTATTTATCGATGCTATAGTATTATCATAATGTATAATAGGAAAAAATCCATAAATAAATAAAACAACTGAAAAAGTTCCAACAATTATTGAATAAATTAATCTAATGTTGTTATACATTTTCAGTTTTGTGTTAATAAAAAGTGCAAATATTTTTCAATATTCTGTATATATTACTTAATGTATGAGTTAAGGGATTCTATAATTGAATTTGTTGAAAAATTCCAGAATTAGCATAATTTTACCGACTTTAGCGAACACTTTAGCGACACAATTTTTGTGTTTCCATATAAACGCAAAGAAACATTTTATTATGAATAATCAAAGATAATACTTTAGTCTATTAATGTAGGTTATTTTATTGAAAGCAGATAAATGTGAAGTAATTCGAATTTCCCGCGTTTCGAGAATGTAGATGAAGGTAACATTTGTAAAACAATTAAAAGAGGTCTGCATAGTATTTTTTGATTCTAATATACCATTATAAAAATATTTGATCCTTTTATTTTACTATTCTACAACAAAATCTTAATAATAATAATCCTTTATAATTGTTATTTGACATTAATTTTTGTTCTTTATTACTTTTCATTCCAAATAATTATTAACCAATAAAAATGTTGAATTCAAGTTTGCAAACATTTCATTGGATGGAAAAAATGTCTCGATACTCTTGTATATAAAATAAATATATTTATTTAGAAAATATAAAACATAAACTATTTTAATAATACTCATATAATAGTATTATATAAGTACTCATATAATAGAATAATTAAAATTTAGTAATTTTTTATTATCAATATGATTAAATTATTAATGAAAATGAACGTATATAATAAAATAAATACAAATTTTGGAAAATGTATTTCTTAATAGCTAATGTTGTCTAAAATTAGTAACATGAATTTCAAATAACAGTAATTAAGAAAATGTTAAAATTTAGTTTGAAAAATGTTCTGTATATTAGCGATTGATACGACAGGTGTGACGTCACATCGCCGCCCCGTGATGCATATTGGGAAACGCCAGACATCTTGAATAGCATGGACCAGCTACACAGTGCGTGCTAAAAAGACATGCAGTTTATCGTGAATCCTTTGATAATTTCCTACACGAAAGTGTATAAAATTTAGTGACTGTTAATCTAACGGATTTTGTCCACAATGGATGCAGTTAAAGCATTTAATGCAGAGGTAAGTGAAACATTTCTTAAGCTTTTAGAGGTCATCGTCGAAAAGGCAATCCTCCCTCTCTTTAGCATGTACAGGGACATCGCGTATACCAATTTACTATTGTTGATATTATGTTATGTACATACAATTTTTATTTTATATTTTTTATTCATATGAATAATTAATTATTGAAAATGACGATTATGTGGTAGTTTTCATTAATGACGCCAACGATACCCTGCTATTATATTATTTTTCTTGTTTTTCTAACACAAACTAAATAGTTTTAATTGAATAATTAGACTATGACAATAAATAAATAATTTACTTTAATTATTATGCTAATATTATTGGAATGATCTAAAGTTTGATTTATTGAAAATCATTGAAGTAATTTGTTATATATATATATATATATATATATATATATATATATATATATAGGTGTGTGTATATGTATGTATGTATATGTGTATGCGTGTGTGTGTGTGTGTGTGTGTGTGTGTGTGTGTATGTGTATGAATGTATTTATGTATTTCATACAGATTTAATTAGTTGTATTTTGTTAGGATGGTTAGCACTATTTTCTTTGATTCAATTGTTTTACATTTACTTTATCTTATATTTTTGAGCAAAATATTAATTCAATATTTATTTTATTCGTGCAAACTTGTAATTAACCTATTTAATATTACAAATTGTATTTTTCAGCTTTCTGCATTATATGATGTTAAACCACCAATTTCCAAAGCAAAAATGAATTCTCTTACACGCGGAGCTATTAAGGCAATAAAATTTTATAAACATGTTGTACAAAGCGTGGAAAAATTTATTCAAAAAGTAAGTTTTATTTAAAGTTTATTTATTTCATTAAATAAAACAATATATATATATACATAAGTATTCATTATTAWAAATATATTTGTTTTCAGTGTAAAGCAGAATACAAAGTGCCAGGATTATATGTAATAGATTCAATAGTAAGACAGTCGAGACATCAATTCGGAATGGAAAAGGATGTGTTTGCTCCTCGTTTTGCTAAAAATATGCAAACAACTTTTCTTAATCTTTTAAAATGTCCGCCGGAAGATAAAAGCAAAGTTATACGTGTATTAAATCTTTGGCAAAAAAATGCAGTTTTCCCACCAGAAGTTATACAACCACTTTTCGATTTAGCAGATCCCAATCACCCTATTCATAAAGAACAGCCGGTTAATGCAAATGGTAAATATATTTTAGTCATATGATTTTTAGTTATTTTGTGGAATTGTTTTACATGGATTTTATTTACAGGTACATTGAATGTATCATCTGGCAATAATCTCAGCAATATCTCTGCAGTAACAAAGACACCTCCATCTGCGGTTAAAGTTGTTGCAAAAGATCAAAAATTATTTTCTTCCACTAAACCAATCGATCCAGTATGGCTGGCACAAACAAAAATTGAAACAGCCAATATAGTTAGTATACATTTAAATTGATATTTACATAATATAGTATTGTAAACAGTTTTAAAATTCTTGTATGTCTTTTTAGGGGCAATCTAATTCGAATCAAGTTGATCCATCCTTTCTTGATCAGCTACAACATTTGCAACAACTGTTGTTGAAAAAACAAGATACTAATGAATCTAAGACTTCAGTTAAATTTGATAAAAAGCTTTTAGATTTTGATTATGGAGAAGAAGAAGATGACGATGTTGTCGTTGCAAGTTCACCGACAACTGCTACTGCTACAGCATCTCAGCATAATGCTGTATCTACAAGTAATAGTTTGGAAAGCCTTGGATTGCTACTGACAAACCCTGAGGTACTTAATTCTTTCATAGCTGGTCAAAAAGTTAGTAAAAATATATTTACAATTCTATATATTCCCAATATCTAATCTTTTTTTTTCTTTTTAATATGAAATATTATTATAGGTACTACGGCAATTGCAAACATTGCAACAAACGATGCAAGGAAGTATACCATCATCGTCGCAACATGAAATGGAAGAAAAAATGCGCAAATTACAACAGATGAAACAGCAAGAGGAAGAATTTGATAAACACTTGGCTCAAACTGTTCCTGTATGTTACTAAAATACTTAAAAATTTCTAATTAATTTGAAATAATCCTAAATATAAATCATGTTTTTAGAATTTACCTTTTGCATCAGAATGTGAGCTGAAACCTACAGATATTCTGAAACCAAGTCAACAAAGTACATATTCAACAAATACAACTACTGGAGTTATTCAAGATATGAGTCAACCACCACCTGGTTATCCTCCAGCTTTGCCATATGTTTCACAACCTTTGTCGAATATGAGGCAAATTAACCAAACTGGTCATCAGAATCAAAAAAGTCCTTTACTTGATGAACGCCAGGAATCACAAGATTTTTCTGGGTAATTTTCTTTATGAGTAGTCGAAATGTAGCTGAATAAATATTTATAAAATTATAATTTGATTAGGGATTTAAATGAATATTATATACATGTGATATTTGATATATATTCTGTAAAGAGATTATTTCTTATAAATAATTAATAAATTCATGTTTATTTTGTTTATAGAAATGGTGCAAGACGTGATAGTAGTAGCGTTGAAATTGTAAATTGTGATAATACTAGATCGCAAAGTAGATCACCGGAAAGATATAGGCATCATAGTCGGTCTAGATCTCCACGACATAGAGATAGAGACAGAGATAGGGATAGAGATAGAAAATCTCGTTCCAGAAGTAGATCAAGAAGAAGAAGGTAGGTGGATTTGTTATAATATATACACATTGATTTGATATGTTTATAATTGATTATATATAATATAAATTAATTATTCTGATAATTTTTCAAATTATAGATCGCGGTCCAGAGATAGAGGCCGTGATAGAAAAAGGGATGACAGTCGAGAAAAAATGACAGAAGAAGAAAGGGAAAAGGAAAGGGAACGTCGTAAACGTGGATTACCTCCTATAGTTAGAGATAAATTAAGTGGTATGTTTAATACATGATTTTATATCAATAATATTTAGTCATAAATATACATCACTAAAAGAATATATTTTTAGTTTGCAGTACAACGCTTTGGGTCGGTCATTTATCAAAATTAGTGCATCAGGAAGAATTATCTGATACGTTCGGAGAATTTGGTGACATCGTTAGCATCGATCTCATATCACCTAGAGGCTGTGCTTTTATTTGTATGAACAGAAGACAAGATGCGTATCGTGCTCTGACTAAACTAAAGAATCATAAAATGCAAGGAAAGGCTATAACAGTAAGTTTATTGTTTGTAAAAAATATATCATTCTAAGATATGTGTTTTATAATATTATTGAAATAATATTTTTTGTCGTTTTATAGTTAGCATGGGCTCCAGGTAAAGGTGTTAAAGGAAAGGAATGGAAAGATTACTGGGAAGTAGAACTTGGTGTCAGTTATATTCCATGGAATAAGTTACTTAACATTACGGATCAAGATCTGGAACTGTTGGAAGAAGGTGGTATGATAGATGAAGATACATTACCCCCAAGTTTAAAAGGTATATATAATTAATTAAATTTTAATTTTATTATTTTATATAAACGCAAGTTTATTTGATTATATATAACATGCTTATATATGACATATGAACGAACTTGCAAGAATAACTTTGAATTTTTGAGCCAAATTAGAAATATTAGTACTGATTTGGTCAAGTCAATTCAAAACATTTGATTCAATTTCTTATTAATATATAATTGTTAAATATATACTTTACAGAAATAAATAGTGTGTTTGTTTTTGTATATTATAGGAAAATTGAAACATTCTGGTGGCAGTATAGATATTATGCAATTACAAATGCAGCAACAGGCATTAGCAGCTGCATCGGTAAATTGATACTTTAATTTCAACATTAATTAACGATATTGTAAATGTTATATCAACTTGTAATGCTTGTTAACAACAGCAGCAACAACCGCAGTTAGTTGATACTAGCCAACCGCCACCAATACGACCACCCACGTCAGCCGCACTTTTGCCTCCACCAAACACACAATTACAAATGATGCCATCAGCTTTTACAATGACAGGTGTTCCACGTAAGTTGTATCTACAAATTTAATTATAAATAATATAATTTTATAATATGTAATTACCATATGCGTTATTGAATGCGATAATCTAATCATAAATTAATACAACACAAAGTTCTATCTGATTAAGTTATATCATATTTTGATACAATATGAAATGATAATAGGTATGATTGGACCTATGGGTCTCCCTATGGCACACAGTTTAATGCCTAATGTTCCAATTGGAGTACCTCCACCCAATATGCAAAGTCTTTTGGGACCTCCAGGAATGATGCAGACTATGTTGACTCCATCTGTCAATTCTCCATTTAGTGCAAGCGTTGGTGTAGGCCTTTTAACACAAATTCCATTACCTGCACCAGCCGCACCATCGGACAAGCCAAATTCAACTGGTACGTTAAATCGACTTGTTAATTATTAATCTTTATCAAAGATATAGGTGAATTTTTTATTATAATTCATATATAATAATAGGGATGCCACACAATGTTCCACCTATAGGAGTACCTCCGCCTACCTCAGAAACTAACATGCCAAATCTACCAATGCTTCGTCAGTCTTATGGAGTAGGACCAGCACCACCTATGCAAATGCAACTACCTCAACATCACTCCGATGATATGGATGTTGAAATGGAAGATGCCATGCCATTAAACGTGAGCAATAATACTTCCAAAGAGAAACCAAATTTGAGTGATCAACTTATAGCAGCTATGAATATGGGTGCAAGCACCAGCGACAATAGGATAGAGAATGAACAACAAAATATTGATTATAAGGAAAGGGAGAGAGATCGCGAAAGTAGAGACAGAAGAGATCGTGAACGTGATAGGAATGATCGTAGTGACGTCAATGATTCCAGAATGGATCGCGGAAGAGATAGAGGTAGAGGAAGAGACCGAGGTCGTGATCGTTGTAGAGACACTAGAGATGGCAGAGACAGGGATAGGGATGATAGAAGAGATAGAGACAATAGAGATATTAGAGAAAGTCGTGATAATTCAATGAGGCATTCTGAATGTTCTAATATGTCTAATCAAAATCTTCAAGATAACGAAGCAATGTCTAAAAAAGATGGTAAACCTAGTCTTGCTGAACGTTTGAGACAATTAGCTGATGGTACATTACCAATAGATGATCGTATAGATAGAAATATTCGAAGTAGCAGAACTGAACGAAGTACCGAGAGAAGTGAAAGAAATTTTGAAGAAAATTCTGGTACTCGAAGACCTAACGATATGCCATTACCATTAATGGATATTCCGAAATTTGTTGGAAATGTCCAAGAACGTGTTGATTTTCCACCACGTGGACCCGATTTTAGAGGTGGAGATCCACGTGATTATCAACAAAGAAATTTACCCGATAGAGAGCGACCAAATTTTCCGCGAGGATCGAATGGCCCGAGAGGTTCTCAAATAGATGATTTTATGGATCCAAGAATGCAAGCTGGAAGATTTCAAGATGAATTTGAGAATAGATTAGGACATAATGGTCCTCGATCGGATGAATTCGCTCCTAGATTAGGACCTTCCAGAGAAGATTTTGATCGGTCGGATATACGGAATCGACGACCGGTTGAAGATTATGAACGTGATCGTTTCGAATATGATATGAGACGCGATGGATTTGATCCACGTTTACAAGATGGTTTTGATCCAAGAAGTCATGGTGAACGGCCTGATTTTGACCCACGAAGAAGAGATTTCTTTGGAGGTCCAATGGAACCTGTTTTTGGAATACCACCAATGATGGGGTTGCGAGGTCCTAGAGGTCCTGTAGGACCTGAAGGATTTGGTCCGCGTGGTTCTGGTATGGGATCAAGAGGTAAGTTCAAACTCATAAACAACATTTTTTTCTATATATACATATTTATATCATTTATTTTTAAACATTTTCTAAATGCATCTTACTTTAGGACCTTTAATATTCCATCCTCGAGGTATGGGACCACGAATGAGAATTCGACCGCCGTTTGGGCCACGTGGACCTCCACCATTCGATCCTAGAGAAGCAGATCCATTTTTCCGGCCGCCATTTGATGATGTACGTGGCCCACCAGGTCCACATATGAGACCGTTCGGTCCCATGGGTCCGCCAGCTATGCACGGTCCTGATGGACCTTGGAGGAATCAAGAAGGTGGAGGAGCACTGCCAGGTCCATGGACACCTCAATCTACTAGTACTCCTGAAACTGATAATCATAACCAGAGAGAAAATCATCTTACACGAGACAAACAAAAGGGATCCAAACATTCAGATTATAAGAACAATATTTCTGATAGAGAAAATCGTAATAGAAATAGAAAGTCAAGATGGGGTAATGTAAGTCCACCTATAACGGAAAATACAGATGAAGTGACATCCACTGAAGGAATCGAGGACAAGATAGATATAAAACAAGATAGGAATTTTGAAAATGTTGAATCTACATCAGAGGCGACTACTAATGAATACAGTCAATCAATAAAAATGGAACTTGATAGTTCTGCAGATAGAGAGCAGATTGAAGAGAAAAATGATGTACATCATATAAAAAATGAGCAAAGCGAAGAAACCAATAAGGAAGTTAATGAAAATCAATACAATGAAGAAGAACAAATTAGTTCCTACCAATCTAATGTAGATGCATCTTCTGCCAATGATGTTGAAGAAAATAAGTGTAACGAAGACAAACAATGTGAATATCAAACAGTCAGTAAAACGGAGGACTCATCGCAACAATGTGCAGAGCAAGTTGAAAAATCTGAGTGTGTGAGTGAAAATAATAGTGACCAAGCAATTTTAGAGCAGGCGGATGCTTTGTAAAAGGCTCGATGTTCGAGGACTAACCAAAGTTAAGCAAAGAGAATCTTTTAATAGATTCATGTAAAATATGATTCCAAACACACATTGTACATAGAATCATGTTATTAAGCAAGAAGTGAAATGAATTTGGTTTTGTGGATCTTGGAGTACTAAACTCTGGAGTGGTGAGGGAAAGCTGTGGGTCCAGTGAGTTCTTTTAGAAGTCTTTTTTTAAAGTATTCACTTTTTAAATGTATATGAATTTTTAAATTTATTTCGATATTTAAAAAAAGAAAGGAAAAGTAAAGTAAAGTAAATTAAATTGAAATAGAGTAAATTAAAGTAAAGTAAAGTAAAGTAAAGAAAAAAAAAAAGAAAAGAAAAGTAAAAAGCTGCTTCTAGATCTTGCTGTGATAGTGAACACAGGACCTACTATATGTAAATAAACATAAAAATGCAATTTAAGTTTTAGGAGATTTCTTTTCGTAGATAAATATAGAATCACTTAATTGCCATTTGTATTATTAAAATGCCAGTTAGCATCGTAATCTCGTTAAGGACTTGAATACAATTAATTTTGCAATCATACTTAAGGTACCGTTGTACAGCGAGAGTATATCTGTACCTTATACTCTAAACGATTATTAATTTATTGAATTGTATATACTTTTATATTTTCCTAGCAGAACAAATGAATGAATATATTGTGCTAACGGTCATTGCTAAATCAAAGGAAGAAAAAAAAAAAAGAAAGAAAAAATAATAACAATAAATATTTTATATATACTGTCTTTGATAAAAAAATAATGGCCTTCTCATTCCGATTTATGCGTAGCTCCCAATCTTGCAGCTATCTTTGAAATTGAAAAACTATGTATTAACACTATAAATTGGTTTGCCATGAATTGATCTTAATTATTAATATGTATATATACATAGATCTAAAATTTGAATAAGTTTTAATAACTTATTACGTATTCCCTTTACCGGTCTCCCAACAAAATTTATTTTTCTATTTAAACGTAATGAAACGTAAACGCGTTACTTTCCAATTATCTATTTCTTATTCATGGCACAAATTCATTTTATTCTGCATGAAATTTTTTCTATTTATCATCAAATATAAAATAAACAAGAGAATAATAATAGGCAATATGGTTATTGCATTAATAAAGCAAGTTATAAATGAGCTCTGGATTCCGTACATACAACTTGGTTCCTGTGTTCACGCACGCACGTTATTGCACACCGCAGCGATGGAATACTCGTGCTTGCGCTCAAACTGAGTGACAAGTACAAGGTACTGTCTACATTATATTCACATAAACTAGTCGAAGAATGTGACACTGACTACTTCAAAATGAATTTTGTTTAAATCAATATCAGCCCGCACCACTCCAGACCAAAGTCCATTTTACATACATATATATGTATGTGTTTATTATTATTATTATTATTGTTATTATTATTATTATTATTACTACTACTATTATTATTATAATTTTTATTCTTATACTTATTATTCTTATTTTTATTATATATACATACATACATGTATATGTATTAATATAATGAATTGTATCTAATGATAGGATAGTGTAATTGCTTACAGCTCAAAGTAGTGTTATGTATGACAAATGCACTTCCATTATATATATATAAAAAGAAAGAAAGAGGAGTATCCCAAAATTGACGCAATAGATTAACTTTGTAACAAAATGTAAAATCATTTTGTTTTTTATTAATTGAGAAGAGTTAATATTCTCGATGATATAATTCACTCAAAGTTAAATGGCAATAATTTTTCTAAAAGTTCAATGTAGAAAATGTGTATATTTCTATGCGAACGAAAATATTTTCCATTTATATGTTTATTTTTACTTAGAAATAAGATACATAAATAAGCATTTTGCTTTATTTTTTCTTTCGCTTTAGTTTGTATTTTCAAGTTTTAAAATACTCGCATATATATGAACGTGCAATGTGTGTGCGAGTAATAATACAACATACTTGTATCCTGAAAGATGATTATGCACGTACAGCTTTTACTAAAAAAGAAATATATGTAAAAGATACATTAATCAGAAGTATTAACGAATATAATAGATTCGTAAATGAAGAGAAAGAGAATATTAGTAACAATATTGATTTAAGTTATATCAAAAAAGCGGGATACATATATATATATATATATATATATATATATATATATTACTTACTATGTTATTTTAATGCTCTTAATTATTATAATTATATAAAAAAAAAGTTCTAAGATGATTATTTAGGGAAAGCAGATTGTATAAATAAACTCGATATTTGCAATTGATTGTCTTTGGGTTTTTTGTTTTTGTTTTCTTATTAAATAGTTTTATCAAATCTTATTAATTTATATTATGAAACTATACATAACAATATTTACAACTTCAGTAAATTCTAGGTAATAAATTCTTATATTCGATGGAAGAATTTTCAAAAAAATACTGGAGTGGTGTATGGTACTATTAAGATAGGATTCATATTACTTTTTTGAAAACTTCTTAGAATTCATTAGATACATGTAAAATATTTACTTCTTATGTTCGTGTTAGAATACATTTAAAAAATATACTAATTTTTTTTTCTTCTCAATAAAAGTAAAATATTAAAAGAATGATAAAATCATAGTATACGCACAAGATTACAATGTTATAAAAATTACTATAAAAGATTTTTATTTTTACATCGTACATGCTTGTTTAATAAAYAAATAAATTAAAGATTACAGTATTGTGAACGTCTAACTTAATGATTTAAGATTTTCGAAAATATATATGTACATGTAATATGAATCTATATCTTATAATATTTTATAAAAAACATTTCACACACAAAAAAATAAGAATAATTATTAAGCTAATAATCACTAACACACGTGTACCCGTTTAGTATAATTTTCTTTCATATCTTTAATCATGCATTTCTCAATATCAGCGTTGATTACTTATTCTCTTATATATACATATACGTGCCGTTATATATATGATCATTTATATTTAATATTAACATATGTACACAATAATATTCTGCTCTTCCTGCCATCGAATGTTTATCTCATAATTATAAAGGTAGATCTTTTTTCGACTCTGATAGAAGAGCGTATTTTACATCATTTAATCTGCCAGTATTTTACAGTTAGTATACAAAATTTACAAATGATGATTCTGATATTGAAACCGAAAAAAAAAAGTATAATTACATTTAATACCCATTGCATTATTAAACAAAACAGTTATTATTATCTCATTAATAAGAAGCCTGTACAAATACTAAGATTTATAAAAAAATATCCAGAATATGTAAACAACTATATCAGAGATATAAATTTAAAAAAATAATGTTTGTTAATGTTAAATAATTTTTTATATGAAATTAGCGATAATATCTTAAATTAATAATGTATAGATGAAATAATACATGTATATGGCACTTATAATTCTATGTTAAGATTAAATTGTAAATGTGTATCTCTGTAAAATGAAAATTTAGTTACAAAGTATAATAAAGTAAACAACGGTAATCATTAATAATGTTAGTTAAGTACAATCAAAATTATACATAAGCTGTTCACAGGTCAAATTGATTAACTCAACTTTACAAATTGTTTCATATTTTATTATTAAAACACTTCATTAATACTTAATTTTTTATATTTGAAATCAATGTTAAAATCAATTAACTCTTAATGGTCTGGAAATATTTCAATTTTGTAAATTTAATCAAATTTGGGCACAATGCTTAACGCATTAATTGTAAATATGACAATAATAAAAGTGATAAAAATAATAAAATGATTTTTGTCACTAAATATGCATTGGCATTGGACCCAGTTCAATAATAAATGATACAATAATATATACATTAGTTTATCAATATTCTCAATTTTTTGTTTTGTGGAGTTAATCAATGAAGCAAATGTGAGTAGCTCATGTATAGAGAAAAAATTATTTCATTATACCATTCTGATTTTTTATTAATTTTTTAAATAAGAACATATTGATTAGTGATATGCATGTAAATATAAAAAAAATTGTTTTACATTGTATATTATTATTCTTATAAACTATAAAAATGTATCTGTAAAGAAGAGATACATTGTAATTAAAAAATATTAATTTTTTTTCTTTTGTATGCACGTTTTCTATCATACTATCAATCATAAACATTATAGAGTATATGTGCAGGCTTCACACACACAAATTGATAATTTAATTTTAAGAATAATGAAAAAAGAATATATATTATACTATACATAATATTCTATTCCAAGTAAAATTTCATGTAAATAAATATGTAAACATGTTTATAATTATCAGTTGCATTTTATGCATGTTTGTTACACATTATTTTAAAGCACATATATACAAATCTATCTTAGAAAGGAAAACAATATAAATAAAAATAAAAAATGTATTGATACATATAAAAGTATATATAAGAGAGAGAGAGAGAGAGAGAGAGAGAAAGAAAAAGAAATAAAAAGAGAAAGAGAATGAATGAATGAATATATGAAAAAAAAAAAAAACGATACTATTGCCTTCAAGCCACATACGGTGGCATATTAACATTAATAAAAGATATTACATATTTGTCTAAGGAATAATATGTTTACACGAATGTATATAATGTTCTTATGGATAATTGTTAAGTATTATTTAGTTAAGAGAGCACACATATAAAACAGAACCAGGTACATTCTTTTATTTCTTTTTATTTTTAAAAATGATTACATATTATATCATATTATGCTAGTAGTGTGATAATAATGTGCAAATATTTTCAACATTGGCAAATTGTGTATTGCAACTCTTTGCTGCCTCGTCATTAACAAATTCTGTAATCTTAATTAATCAATAATAAAGGAAAAAAATATATGTGTATATATCCATATATATACATATATATATTACGTTGTCTACAGATGAAAAATAGAAAAATAATAGTTCCTGTCTTTATAAAATAATTACATAGCAATATAATGATACGCATACTTGTTATTAATTAAGTTTAATATTTTTTCTTTTTTTTTTTAAATATTACATTATATTTATAAATTATTCTTTATGTAAAGAAAAAAAAAAGGTAGTTCAATTCTAGCTTTTATAATATCCAAATATAAATAAATTAATATTTCCGATTAAATGATCAATCGATCGAATAGGATTTCATGAAAATATCGACAAATATCTAACGCGAAATATACGAAAGCCAATCAAAATAGAGCAATAATGAAGTCGATTATGATTGGTCGATGATAGGTGATAATAATGAGGAAACTGTCGCATTTTGAGAATGTAGCTTTAAAAAAATATGAATGAAAGAGAGAGAAGGGAAGAAATAGAGAGAGACAGAGATAAAGAGAGAAAGAAACGAAGCAAGGAAATCTTATGCGAATAGAAGGAATTTAATATGTCTTTTCTCAAGACGCAGTGTTACGAGCGATTACGTTCGTCAAGGTCAGCGAGAGAGCGTCTCCGGAATAATGTACGAAGGAAGGATCTCTTTTTGCCCTTCCATGGCCGTATAATAAAATTCACCAAGAGGATCCCCCACATTGTGGATCTCGGAGAAGGAAGGAAGGAAGCGCGTAACAAGCAAAGCCATCGCTTCGAGCGATCGCGCGATGTCAACTACGAGACGGAGAAACGTTGTCGGGAGAAAGAGAAGGAAGGAACGTGTCAATCTGTATCGTGGAAAGTCCACGGCTAACGACGATAGAGTTCGCCGACGACGGTACTGGCGGTGCTTATCCGATCGGTCCGGGTAGGGAAACAAGTGTCTGTGTACAAGATGGCGGCGCCCGGGGCTTTCACTGTCGTGAAAATCGCGAGGAAGCGAGTGCTCTCGTTGTAAAAAAAATAAAATACGCTGGAAGAGAAACACGACAAGTGTTGTTGTAGTAGTAGTAGTCGTATATAGTAGTCGTAATAGTATAGTAAATAGTAAATAGTAACAATAGTAGTAGTAGTGTAGTGATATAGTAGTAGTAGTATTAGTATTAGTATTAGTATATTAGTACTTGTATAGCTTAGCGATACAGCCTCTCGGAGGAGAGCGGTATCGCGAGTGCCAAGACTACGACTAATTGTCAAAGGATGTGATCCAAGAAGAAAAAGACTAAGCTCTTACATCTTCGAGCTCGGAGCTTTCTTAAGCCCCTGGCTTTTAAGGAAATAACAGAATCTACGAGGAGGATATAGTCTCGTAACTTTTTTCTTTTTTTTTTTTCCGAAGAAGACGTAACCAAAGGAATTATTAAATAATACGATTTGTTATAACGAGGATATAACGAGAAGAAGTAAAACTAGTAGAAGAGAGATAATAAGAAGGAGAAGAAAAAGAAGAAGAAGAAGAAGAAGAAGAAGGAGAATAAGGAGAATAAGGAGAATAAGTGGAAAAGAAAAAGAAGAAGAGAAACGTGACGAAGACGAAACACAGTCGTCGTTGGACCGTTCGTTTTTTCGGTCAGTTAAATTGGGGTGTCCGAAAGTTAAAGTGCATTAGAGTTTCTCCTTTTCTGAAAGAATCATTGTTGTCCTTTCTACCTTTTACCTCTCTTTTCACCGTCCCTTCCCCCCTGTGTTCTTTTCTACCTTTTCTTCTCCCAGGGACTTTGCACCGAACCTAAGGTCTGTTAAACCTTCGTTTCCTTTCTTCCCCTCCCCTGTTCCTGTCCTTCCTACTTCCCTTCTCTCCCCTCCTCTCCCCTCCCTTGGGTTCGTCACCGTCGTCGTGTTTCTTGGGTAAGAGCACGTCGCATTAGTCTCTCATCCGCTGAGCGTTATACCTCGGGAGTTAGTGCTTACCTCATCTTTCGATAGATGTACGCAGTCGAAGGCCAAGAGGAAAACTTTGAAAAAACAGCGTCACGACAAACTGCGTTTTCTTCGCTTACACCATCATCGTCGCGGTCATCATTCCTCATTGCAGTTATCACATCTTCTGCTATATTTTGTATTGCGACGACGACGACTTCAACAACAACAATAACAACAACATTGAAGAATAGTGTTAACGAAAAAGAGAATGTTTGCAACGACGACGACGACGACGACGACGACGACGACGACAACAACGAAGACGAAGACGAAAACGGCGAAGAAGAAGACGAAGACGACGGCGATGACGACAACGTCGACGAAGACAAGGATGACAACGATAAAGATGGAGTCTAGACAAAGTTATCATGGACTGTGCCGATTGTGTGCATCTCACGACGCTGTTATGATGGATATTTTCGGTCAGGAGGGCAGAAATCGACAATTCATCGAGAAAATTCAAGCTTGTTTGCCATTCACGGTGAATATCTTTTTTTTTCGTTTTTACATATTTATTCAATTGTATATATTTTTCTAGTAGATTGCGTTTGGCTCTCTCTCTCACTCTCTCACTCTCTCTCTCTCTTTCTTTCTTTCTTTCTCTCTCTCTCTCTCTCTCTCTCTCTTATATACTTCACCCTCTCACCCTTGTAATTTTTTTGTCATTTTATAAATCTTTTTTATATACTTATTGTTAGTTTAAGAATTTTGTATAGATTTTCTACACTCTCTTTCTCTCTCTGTTTCTCTTGTTCATGTAATTTCTTTTTCGTGTTTTAATATTTCTTTTTTTATACTTATTGTCAGTTTTGGAATGTTTTTAAATATTTTATATATATTCTCCTTTTTTTTTTTTCATTTTCTATAAATTTTGTACTACATATTTTCTCTCAGGTTAAGGTCACATTTTTCTTACTTTCTCTATAAAAAGTTTAAAAATTTTCTAAGGGATTTCATAAAAGTTTTAGAAAACACGTGTCGAGCACGTGTACTATGCATTTAACAATAAGTTAAATGCATTCTTTCTTTATTTTCTTTCAATAGTTACTTCTAGCAACATGTGTTTTTTAATAAAACCTTTTCTTTACCTAGAAAATCTTCTACCTATTCATTTAAGTACCTATAGGTTTGTTCAAGGATAAGACATTAAAAGAAAAATTTTAAACGCTTTCCCTTTTTTTTTTTAAATCCTCTCTTCCTCTTTATTTCTATCTCATGAAAAAGTATAATAGACTGCGACATAGTCCTGTAGAAATGACGACAAGAACAATTTAATACAATGAACGACGGGTGGGAACTCATGGGGTTTCTATTTTTCTTTTCTTAAAAAAAAAATCAAAAGATTTGACTGTAATAACATTTTCCATTCTATTTTCTTTTTCTTTTTTAGTATTGTATTTGATTCTTTTATTTATCAGAGTTTTAGTTTCCCTTATTCTTTCTGAGTCATTTAGAGAAAAGTCCTAAGGTCACTTGAAGAGAAATCCCAAGGTCACTTAGGGAAAATTTCAAGAGAGTTCAAAGTGTACAAAAATTAAACAATTTTCTAGAAGAATTGATCAATCTTTTATTTTTTTTTAATATTTTTCTCTTTTTAATCGCAATATTTCTATGAATTATTAATTTAATATTTACGTTTATCTCCTTATTAATTGATATTTTTTTTTTTTAAACATGTTGTTTTAATTTAATTATCAAAAAGAAAAAAGGTTTCTCTATTTTTACAAATATTATTAGCAATGAATTTACTTTCTTAGGCTTTTTCATATACTTTTCTTCAATTTTATTTATGTATTTATTTGCATTATTTTTAAAGTACAATTATATGAGATGTAAACTTATTTAGAAATATATAGTAAATAGATTTAATGCATTAAGTAAATTTCATATGTTGCAATTAATTTTACCATTTCTTTTCTTCTTTTTAATTTTTTTTAATTTTTCTATTTTCTTTTAGATTACAGAAAATGATAATCTCCCAAAGACCGTATGCAGACGTTGCATTTTCAACCTGGAGAATTTTTATGACTTTAGGACAGCATGCGTCAATGCTGTGGCAATATTAGAAAGACATTTACCTCCAAGCGAAGTAAGTTTTTATTTGTTTTATGTATAATATATAATATCTTATAGAAAGAAATAATGTGAATAGAATATTTATTATAAATTTGTTTACATTGCAGACATTTGACAAAGATTTAAATAACTATACGCAGTGCAGTAATGCACAATTCCTAAAAGAAAAAAAGAACATACCAATAATAATACCAGAAGCACCAATAGTTAATCCGAATGCAGCTCTAGGTACACCGCCAAGATTAAATTGCATTAGTGAAGCGGATCACGAAATAGAAGAATATCTTGAAAATGGTGTCCCAGATGAAGGTACATATAATTTATTTTATTACAAAGATATATTTAATATTTGTATCATATTTTCTTCTAATTATTCATTTGTTTCTTTAATAACAGAGGAAGCGTTTGATGTAGATGAATTTGAATTGGATATGGAAACTAATCCTAGCGATTTCTTAGAAATGCCTCCTATGATAACTGAAGATAACGAAGAAACTAATTCCAAAAATATCCCTGCTGCAATGCAAAATTCTACAGTATTTCAACATACGTTGGAGCAACATGAAGTGTATGTTTGTTCGTTGTGTACCAAAGCATTTAGTTCCAAAGGACACTTGTCCCTTCATGCGAGAATTCATACAGGCGCGGGCAACGTTATTGGTCAGAAGGTTATCACCGATGATCATACTTCTTATAAAAGGCCTTACCAATGTGATCTCTGTAACAAATCTTATTCAACGGCCAAACATCGATGGGGACATGTATCTACAACGCATAAGTGAGTATATTTTTTTAAAATGTATATATATATATTAGATATTTACGTAATTCTAATTTAGAGGACATCCTGCTGTTACATGTGGGTATTGTTCACGTATTTATTCAACTAGAATGAACTTGGAAGAACATGTTAAATCTCGACACGAAGGAGCATCGAAATCAACCAAATTATTAAATCCTCTTTATCGTTCAAAATCGAAATATTATTGTAAAACATGTTCAAAAATGTTTACAAGTATAGCTGAGTTAAATAGTCATAGTCAACTTTGTGCGAAACATTCAACTGAAGTACAATCTGATATTCCAAGCGGAAGAACAAATATGAAAGAACTGGAGATTGATACTTCGGATGTATCGAGTTGGGATACAGATGATGAAAATAAGGGATTTAAAAATGCGGAAGAAAAATTAGCGAAAAATCCACAACTTACGATATTAAAACAAGCGTTGATTAAAGGGATGAAAAGAAGTGCTCCAGATGGAGAAATTACTCCATCTAAGATAATGAAAATGGGTAATTAATCAATACTTTTTTTTCTTGTTTAATTTACTTTGAATAATATTTAATGCTTAATTTTAATCATAAAATATTATTGAATATTTCAGAGGATGGTGAAATTCAGAAGTGGTACTGTGATATGTGCTCTAAATGTTTTACATCTGTAGAAGATTTTAAAAAACACGAGACTACGCATGAAGCCGATAAACCTTTTATATGTTTATTCTGTAGTGAAGAATTTGTTTCAAAATCATTGTTCAGGAATCATATTTTGGCAATGCATGGGGTTGATCCAGATCTTCTTATAGATAATAATGTATGTTTAAAACAAATTGTTCTTATGAAACCATGGAGTAATCAGAGGCCGATACCTGTATCTGATCAAAAAGACACGATGGAAACTTCGGAGTTAGTTTCGCCTTCAGAAGTAAGTAACTTTGAGACATATTTGACTAATATAGAAACTTTTTAATATTGCTAGATGCTTATGTGTTTACTTTTTTTTTCCATCCAGATAAATATAGAAAACGAAGATGAAAATCCAAATAGAAATATCCCTGAAAATTCGCTGGATATAGAGACTGTTTTTCTATGTGAATTATGTTCACGGGATTTTAATGATAGAGCATCATTGTGGTTACATATCCGTGCGACGCACAAAGAATTTGCTGCTTTTGCTTGTGGAATCTGTTTGAAAATATGTTCCGACAATAAGCAACTTACAAATCATGTTAATACATTTCATGGAGGATCAAAATTGCTTGTATCTGAGCAAAGAAGGTATTTTGTTTCATTTCATAATAAATTTATCGTATATCACAAATATATATTATTATCTATGAAGAATACTAATTATTATTTTCTTTTACATTAATTAATTATATTAGGTATAGCTGCACAATATGTGGAAGACAACATGATTCACGAAAAAAGTTAATTACCCATGTCTCGATTCATAATATTAATTCTAAATGTGATCCCGCAAATTATGTACAATTAAATAGTAATTATTATAACGAAACGTTAAATAGTAATGAAGCAAATGAAAATATTTTGGAATACGATGGAGATGAGGGAGAAAAAGTAGACTGCCATATATGTTATAAATCATTTCCAAATGAAGACCATCTTATAAGACACTTGAGGAATGCTCATAAGGTTTTATTTATTTATTTGTTTTTTAGAAATATGTATTACTAAATTATTTAAGTTTATATAATATCTAAAATGAAAAAATCTAATTTTACGTATTTTTTATTAGAACGAGCAAATGAGTGAGGACATTGGTAATGGGAATTCAGGAAATATGAATGGTACCGGTAATAATAAGGCACAATGTCATTTATTTTATGTCTGTGAGCTTTGTGGTAACTCACATCGTAGTAAATGGGAACGTTGGTTACATGTCAATAAGGAGCATAGCGATGAACCATCTATCAGGGTACGTTTAAACTAAAAATTAATATTTTGCATGTGCACACAAAATAAAATAATAAAAGATTTCTTATTTAAAAAACAATTGTTTCTTTAATTTTTGATTTGCAGTGCGAGGAGGAAGGTTGCGGAAAAATATTTGCTACCAAAACATTACGCAATGATCACATAAGTCATCATAATATGCAAGGCATTTTTCCAAATACCTGTGAAATTTGTGGAAAATTATGGAACTCTCGAGTAGATTATTGGAAGCATGCGATGGGAGTTCATCATGCAACAGTACCGTTTATATGTGGTATTTGTCTGAAAATATTTAAAAATTGTTGTGTTCTTCAAACGCATGTGAGAAATGTGCATTGGCCATTGACAAATGCTGATTTTAGTTGTGATATATGTGGAAGACCTTACGCCAACAAATCTAAAATGTTAAAACATAGAACTATTCATAGAAAGAAATATGATATATATAACAACAGTATTAATTCTAACTTGAACGAATCGTTAGAATATGGGCATAGTGCACCACCGGAAACGACGGATTTAGTATGTGAAACTTGTGAAGAAATGAAATTTCCAGATTTGGAAAGTTTATGCAATCACAGACGTATTGTGCATCGTCTATTTCCGTGCGATCTTTGTAACAAATATTACGGCAGAACGTCTCATTTATGGAAACATGTAAATAGAGTACATAAAGGTCACGTAGATATAACGTGTCCTTATTGTTTCAAAACGAGTGCGTCTAAAGACCATTTAGCAGGACATATCGCTAAAATTCATAGGTATGAGGTAGAAGTTACAAAGGATAATAAGAATTCAGTAAATTTCAAATCTTCTAATGGAGAAGAAGTGGGTTTACATTATTGTGAGAAATGTAATAAGGGATTTTATAAAAGATATTTACTTAGACGTCATATGAAAGCTTGTCAGAACTATCGGAAGGATCCAGGAGCATTATTGACTCGTTGTCGCGCTTGTGAAAGAATATTCAAAGATCGTGCGAGTCTACGAAAGCATATTGAAAATCATCATAGCGATTATACTTGTCATTTATGTGAGGTAACTGTTACTTCGAAATTGGGAATTATGACTCATAATCGTATCAATCATATGAACCATCCAGATTTGACTTGCATTAGTTGTAATAAACTATTCCGAACTAAAGAAGATTTAGAGTCTCATAAAAAAGAACATAGATTTCACGTGAGCCTAAATGTTTGTGATTACTGTGGAGATACAGTAGAGAATAAACTTAAATTAAAAATGCACGTACTATCATTACATCGAAATGAAATAGGAGTCTCTTGTGGAGTCTGTTTGATACCTATGAAAGATCCTAAAGATTTGAAGAAACATGTCGAAGAAAAACATAAAAATGTTTTATCCAAGCCAAATACATGCCACGTATGTGGAAAACAATATGCATCCAAATGGAAAGCTTTTGATCATACAAATAAATGTCATGGAAAGGTATTTACACCATGTAAACATTGCTTAGCCGTTTTTATAACCGATGAAGATATCAAAGATCACTATGAACGCGTTCATAATATTTCTAAAAATCATGTAGCTTTATTAGAAGGCCGTATGGATGTGCCAGTGGATATTATTGTTAAAGAAGAACCAGATGATATCGATTTTGACGATGATTTGTGCGAGAATGATTTAAATAATTCTAAAGGAAAAAGATCATTAAATGATACCTTTGATTGCGAGATGTGTCCAGAAATGTTCCTTAAATATGAAACATTAGCGAAACATTATGAAAATGTTCACAATACTAATCCAATGGATATGGTTAGAAAGAAAAATAATGATGGTAAACGAAAAGTGAGAAGTCGAAAGAATTTCGAATGCGTATATTGTAAAAAACACTTTTCTTCTCACAATTTATTTTGGCATCATAATAATGTATATCATAGTGAATTTAACATGCAAAATATTGCATCTACGTCTATTTTAGAAACTCATTTAAAAAATAATAATCAGATAAAGAAGGAAGAAGCTTCGTCGTTTATGAACGAAACAAATTTGAACATTCCAGAATTTAGTTTATTTGAAGATATAAATTTACAATTATCAGCGCAGAAACCTGTACCAAAACTTATGCCATTGTCGCATGTGAAACCACCCGGAACTAAATGTTCGAGAAAAGATTCTCGGAAAGTGTATGATGAATCAACAAATACCGAATGTACTTGTGAAGTTTGCGGAAAACCATGGCCCGCTAAGAAACATCTTTGGCAACATCTTATTCGTTTCCATAAGCCACAAGCGGCAGTAACCTGTGGTGTTTGTTTAAAATTATGCCAATCTTATGAAGACTTATCCGACCATTTAAAGGCTACGCATGAAGCGATATTAACTTGCGAAGGAAATAATTTCACATGTAAAACTTGTGGCAGATATCACAATGCTAGAAGTAAACTATTTTTACATATGAGCGTTCATATTAATAAAGTTGAAAAATTCTGGTGTCAAAAATGCCAAGAAGGTTTTGAAAATGAGAGTAAATTTTCCGAGCATCTACTAATATGTCAGAAGAACATTGAATCGACGAGAAGTAATTCTGAAGATAATATAAAAAATGATAACGAAGAAAAAGGTAGCTTGATAGGTGATGAGACTTCGGCCGTCGAAGAAGTAGATGAAGTAGAAGAAGTGGATGAAATAGAAGAAGTAGAAGAAGTGGATGAAGTAGAAGACGTGGAAGACGTAGAAGAAGTTGAAGAAGTGGATGAAGTAGAAGAAGAGGATGAAGTAGAAGAAGTGGATGAAGCAGAAGAAGTGGATGAAGCAGAAGAAGTGGATGAAGCAGAAGAAATGGATGAAGCAGAAGAAATGGATGAAGTAGAAGAATATTTTGATTTCTTATCGGAAGAAGATGGTGCTACTCAGGAATACACTAATAGTGAAAATTCAGAGCATTCTAGAAGTTTGGACAGTGGCAGTAATAATAGTACGAGCAATGGAGAGGAAGCGGAAAGAGAAAATGATTTTGAAGCTAGATCTAAATCTAATGACAGAACTGTAAATACTGAAAATGAGGATACCAATTTGGAAAATGCAGGGACGATTAAAAATCAAAATTTAAATGATATGAATCGTTTCATGATACACAACGAAGATATGAAAAAAAATAAAGATGAAGAAGAAAGTTTAAAAATCAAATTGAGGAGTCCTGAAACTATAAGAAAATGCCAGGAAATAAATAAAAATGAAGAACAAAATTTGAATTTAAGTGAATCCTTAAACGGCGCTAATTTGAGCAATTTTCATGTAAAGAAGGAAGGAAAAAGAAGTCAAATAGATTTTTCAGATGAAGATGACGGTCCACCTGTTTTGAGTCCAATAATGCCTTTATTAGAACAGGAATCTGTACAGCGTAATAATCTAATAAGTGACATGAGACACAAGGTTAATCCAATGGTAACAATGAATAACGTTAAAACATTGGAAATATGCGAATCACCTGAAAATTGTAACGATGTTGAAAGAAATACTATGTCATCGATGGCCAATCCTATAAATTATTATGAAGATCCTGTTAACGAAAAGATGAATATTGGTATTGAATATAGATGCGAAGATTTTGAAAATATGGATAACGACGAAGATAACGATGAAGATAATAGTATGTCGACCAATGAGGATGGACAAATGGAAATAGATGAGCAAATGGATGTAGATGAACAAAACATAGATTGTAATAATGAAAATGAATACGAAAAATTGGATATTATCAATGATTCTGAGATGGATACTTATGAAGAAAATATAGACGAAGAGATGAAGTATGACGAAACTAGAGATACTAACGTACAAATTCATGATCTAAATGGAGCTGTTTTAATGGTAACTAATGATTCCGATGGTAATCAAATTTTAATTCAACCAAGCGTATTAACTATAGGAAACGAGGATTGCAACGCAGGTGCAACAGCGTTTATTTATGAAGAAACGAATGAGTACGAAATGGAAGATTACGGGATAGTACAGCAGGAAGGAAATTCTGACGATATTCATAATATGTCGTTCACTCAAGAAGAATCTGACAATGACGAGGAGGATAGCATGGAAGGTATCGAAATAACTGATACAAAAGAACATTGTATGAGTGCCAAAAGCGAACAATTTAACGTATAAGTCTGTAACAAAACTTGAGTGTAAGATAAAAGATATATCGATGTGGGTCCATAGATGTGAGGCGGTCGTGTTTAAAATAATGTCGTACGTACCTTGAAGAAAAGTGGAGAAATGAATGCATTGTGTACAGTAGTAGTAATAAGTACAAATATTTCTAGCTTTTGACTAATTTTTTATAGAATTTTCATATAGAAAATATAATGTACGATATATCATTATACCGAATAACACTTGCATGGATATATCGTGTTTACATACATATATATGTATATATGTATATATGTGTAAACAGAAGGTATATATGCCTTAGAAAAACTGCAAGCTTCCAAAATCTAATTTTAATCGATTATAATATATATATATTATATAGATATATATCTATATATATATATATCTATATGTAATAGTAATGGCGAATAATTGATAAAAGTTGGATTTTATAGCAAAATTACGTTAATTATCATTTTGGATATAGATAAATTTTATATCATTTGCGTACGAGTACACGTATAATAGATATGAATATCTATTAGACACACATAGGTGGGCCTCAAAAAAAAAAAAAATAATGATTTCTCAGATATTCTTTAAATGATTTGATAACAAAATATTTTTCACTAATATTCTTTTAATCGAAACGAAAAACAAAAAAATATCGCGTATTATCTTAACACTTGAAACGTGCACTGATATTATATGTTTAATTATTATTCGTCTTTGATTTTCATTCCAAAATAATTTCTAAGTGATCTATTAATCAATTATTATTATTATTATTATTATTATTATTATTATTATTATTATTACTATTATTATTATTATTATTATTTTTATTAGTAATTACTTATATAATCATAGTTCATAAACATGATCGATGTATTTTAATTTATCTGAATGAAAACGCGACCACGAGGATATGTCAAAACGATTAATTTCAATTTTACTGCTAATTGTATATATTGAAATTACATATGTGCATTCGAAGGAGTAGGAGTAAGCACAATTGGCACGCGTAATTCGTTTCTTTGTATTACGTACATTAGTATTAGATATATTAATTATATTTTCTTTTTTCTTCTTTTTTAATATTATTCGTTTATCTATATGTGCGTTCTTATTCATAAAAAATTAATTTTTCATTTCTTTTTTATTCCTTTTTTTTTGTTTTTCTTTTCGTTTTTTCCCCTCTCTGTCTCTCGTACGTATTCAATTTATATTTTATTTTTTCTTATTTTTGTTTCTCTTATATATTTTTTTCAGTCTATACTTAATTTCAGTTGCTCTATTAAAGTTTTAAAATATTATCATTTTAACAAGCACAGTTCAAGGTATAAATTAATATCATTATCATCATTATTATTTGTTCATTTATTTAATAAATTAATAGTTTGTAGTTTTATTTTCCTAATTTTACCAAATTTATGATTCAATAGCAGTCGGTTGATATATATATACATATGTTTTCAATATTATTTAATATTTGACAAATTAAATAATATGTTCATTTTAATTCTTATTCTTATTCTTATTTTTAATATTATTATCATTACTATTAATATTACTGTCAATGTATATTTTTTCATTTATTAATTTTTTCGTTTTAGAATGAGACAGAGAAAGTGTGTGTGTAAAAATATTTTTTTTTTATATATTTCATACTTGTCCTTATAACATGTAATACATATTTTACAGAACCATCAGTTAAATGAATTCCAAAATTTGTAAACAAATAATGACAACAAAAAATATTGTGTATCATGAAATATTATTTTTTACTGTACAAAAATATAAAAATTACATACATAAATAAATAAATAAATAAATAAATAAATAAATAAATTGCCGATCCATTTGTCAAAGTTCGATTTGACATGATTTAAAAATAAAGGAAAGGTGTATATATATATATATATATATATATATATATATATATATATATATATATCTACATCTACATCTCTAGTAATAATTAAAATAAAAGGATAATAAAACAATCTTACGATTTATTATGAAATATCTATGAACAGAAACTAATATATATCTATAATATAATCTTTTGTAGATATGTATCCTTTGTAGTATATCAAAAACTCTCAGAAAATATTTACCTAAGAAATTTAAATTGTGTACTATGATATTTCTTAATAAACTTATATATTTATATATATATGTATATTTATATCTACATGCATGCATATACATATACATTTATATATATGTATACATATGATAAATACATATATATATAAAATAATTAGGAAATTATAATTATAATGATAATGAAAAGAATACTAATCGATTTCATAATTATTATCAAGTGATATGATAATATTCCGTCATTTTTAAGTTACTACTATACATATTTATCTGAACTTAATTTAAAAACTTGAAAAAATTGTATATTGTGATATAAGTACACATACATATACACAGGTACATACATACACGCATACGCATAATATATTCGAAGCCATGTATAAATAATAGTATAATAGTTATAATAATAATAATAATAATAATAATAATAATAATAATAATAATAATAATAATAATAATAATAAGTATGAGATAATAGTTAACAATGTGATGGTCTGTAATATGAGTTAGAATAATACAAATTTGAGCTCAATTAGGGGGCATCTACGAAAAGTCATTGCAATTTTAGATATTTAATTAATATTTAATTAAGTAACTTCCGAATATATTATTGCAATTGGTGGATTAAGAAAGAAGACAAAGATTTGTCCAAATGCCAAGACTTTACATAATTATCGTCGAAGAAAAATATTAAAAAAGAATACATTAGAAAATTGGACAGATTTTTACAAATAGATTGTAGAATCATCTACACAAAGTGTCCCAGAACAATTAAGAAATATTTTATGAATTAAGTACATTCTGAACAATAAAAACAAATTTTATAGAAACATATATTCCATTTGTGACTTTTCTTTTCGAATTTTTTATCAACAAAATGAATATTTATCTATTTCAAAAAATAATTTTTCAAATGATCTTTTAGTACCTAAATAAAGCCTTACAGAGACCAACCCTTACCGATACCAACCTGCTGCAAAACTTTATTTGTTTAATGTTCTTCATATATCCAAATTTGTTGAAAACTTTGATAACTTCTTTTACGAAGAATTGCAACAACGTCTGTAAAAACTTCTTGTTTAAAATAGATTACAAATAATTGCATGAATAAAAAGTGAAAGAAAAAAGAAATAAGAAAAAATCTAATAAAACATATTTGTATAAACAAATTTTTTTTATTTGCATATGTAATATATAAATTGTATGTATCTAAACAACCCTTAAAATATTTTTCAATTATTCTGGGACACATCCTTTATATTCCAATCATTTAAATATACACGATTAAGGCTAGTAATAATAAAATAAAATAAAACTTAACTAAAGAAACAAAAAATAAATTTAATAGAAAATATTTGTATAAACATTTTTTGTTTGGATATTTAAAAAAAACACCTCTCAAATATTTTTTATTTATCCTGATATTACCCTTCCATTTATTCCAATTATTTTAATATACATGAGATCAAGGCTAGTAACAATATACATATTTACATACATACATGAGTTCAAAATATGTATAAATAATCTCAAAGAAAACGTGTACATTTTGTAATGTTTTTGTTAAGTTTTTTTTTAGCAATAATCTAGCGTATGTATAATTAATGCAATTTTTAACAATATTTCGTTTGAAATTTGATTGCAAATCTCATTGATCAATTTTGATAATATATAAACGAACAACATAAATTATAATAACAACTATTTGCATTACGTGAAACATACATATATATTATCTTTTTTATGATTGACTGGAATAAAATGTGTGTATGAGTGAGTGTGTGAGAGAAAGAGAGAGAGAGAGAGAGAGAGAGAAAAAGAGGGAGAGACAAATGGAACAAAAATAATTACGTAACAAATCGACTAACTTTAAAATATATATAAACTTTAAAAAACTATACATAGATATACATAAGTAAAAATTATAATAATAATAATAATAATAATAATAATAATAATAATAATAATAATTATCGCGATATTACATTTTAAGACGTAGAGAGAAAAAAAGACACAAGAATATTTTTTCCACGGCTGTTCTGCTGCGCAGAGATGAAAAGAGAAAGAGGAGGAGAAAGAGGAAGAGAAAGAGAGTATATAAGACAGAGAGTGAGTGAGTGAGAGAGAGAGAGAGAGAAAGAGAGAGAGAGAGAGAGATCATTATTATGGTATATCGTTAATGTTTTATTAATTATGATGTTGTAGATTTAACTTTACTGATTAAAGAGCAATGTTGAAGCTTTTCAAACGCAAATATATATTTTTGTTTTCATATTATCTATGATGGTAAAAATAAACGAACAACAACATGTATTATTTATATAATTATCATAATCAATCCTCTTTTTTTTTTTTAATGACATTAAATAAATCATTTATCTCTTATTCAAATATTTGATAATTGAGGAGAGAGAAAATAAAGACAAGATTTTATGTAGATGAATATCAGAAAATTTTATTTAATTTTAATTATAATTTATAAAATTGATAAATAACGTATAATGTTTTTAATTATAAATAATGTGTTTGAAGTATTGAAGAGATTTTAGATCGAAAAGATTAAAGGAAAAAGAAAAGATTTCTATAGATCAGTACTTGAGTGTTTTTATCTGATTAATTTTGATTATATTGGGTTGGCAACTAAATAATTGCCGATTTCAGTTATAAATGTCTCTAATTCCCATTTTTATTTTTACTTTTTTTTTTAAATTTTTATTTTTATTTTTATATCATCCTAACCTAGCTTTACAAGTTCATTGAGTAGATATTTTCTTAATGTTTTTTTTTTACCTGAATATTAAAAAAAAATCTTTTATTTCATTGAACAAATCGGCAATTACTTAATTGCCAACCTAATAATTATTTAAAAAATGTGATACAGGACGTATTATTATATTATAATAAATAATATTTTTTATAATTATAATATATTAATTAATACTATATTAATACTATTCTAATAATTATAATATATTAAGCAGATCTCTCGTAGATGAAAAAGATTAATTTATCTTTTTTTTTTTTATGATAGATTTTATTTATGATGAGTAAGAAAATGAAAACAAAATTGATCTATATAGATCAATATTCAATAATTTAATCAGACTAATTGATCACAATTTATATATATGGTGCTAGTAAATATAATATTATTAATAATTATAATAATAATAGTAATAATAAATAATAAATAATTGAATATTATTTGATAGAATGGTTAATGTATTAATAATTCCTCGTTGCATTTTATTAGCTGTGAAAAATCACGTTTTAAGAAACACTTTAATAATAATTAACGATTGTAAGATTTACTATTCAAATTTACAGAGCTTTTACTCGTTTACTTATGTAACAAGATTAGGAAAATGATGAAAACGAGGAAGATGATTCATCGACTATTGTATAATAAAATAACGTAAGAACAATATGAAAAAGAGGAAAAAAATAGAGGTAAAGTTAAAAAGTCAAACTATAAAATACGATCGAAAGAAAACGTTTAGTTTTTCTTTTTATGCACATGTTACTAGTCAAAATTATTTGAACATTTTACAAAATGATTAAAAGTTTGTTTAATTGAGTGCCCCATACAATTTTTCTTAGCTTTCCTATAGGAAATTAATAGTTTGTTCAAAACATTCATAATTACGTTCGCGCGTTATTAATTTTTCATTAATTGAAAAGAAATTTCATTTGTGTAAAACGTATTTTCGATATATCGATTACATGTGTTTTTCGATCGCGTGTATAATTCACACACACACACACACATGTCTAATTATTTTTTTGAACAAATGATTTATTGTTAGATAAAATGGCAGAAGTTGCAAAACTTGGAATACCAAAAACATGTAAGACTGTAATGTAAGATTTTAACGGAGTTAAAATTGAATTATTTTTTTATGAATATTCTCTAAGTTTGTTGTTCATTTTTTCACAAGTCGTTTTTAATGCAAAATCAATTAATTTTTGCAATTTTTTGTTAATAAAATAAACAACTGTAGTAATTTTCATTTATTTAATTTGAACATTTTCTTAATTTTTCTATGTGGTCAAATAATTTTGACCTAACATGTTTATACATATATATATATACATAACAAATAATATTTTAAAGCACAATTGACACAAGGAATAACGATAAAACACTTTGACTAATAAGTATTATGAGTTATCGTTGTTTGTTGAAAGATCATTTTTCTATTTCAAAAATAAATCATCTATTTCGTAGCTCCAGAGGTTTTTGCTTATCCACTTTTAACCATGTTCGATATTTGTACGAATTTTTTTACCAATCAGTTGATATTATTATCATTATTATTTTTTTTTCTCTTAAATTTTTATTATTAATTTTTAATTGAATATTCCATCAACTGGTTATGTGTATAATTTGCGATGTAAGAGACAAAGTTTACAGTTTATTATACAATCTGGCATGCTTTAGGTAGTGCAACATATAATAAATTTAACGTCCTTTAAATTGTCGAGTCAAATTATGCAAGAAGTTACCGAATCATAAAATCATTTCAAATTGAGTAAATTAAGTTTGAGAATTTTCATTTAAAACAAACCCAAACATAGCATCTTTATTTTATACAGTTTACAGTATTTTTCAGTGGTTTATTTAATAATGTAAAATATAAAATTAATTTTTTATACAAATTTTAATAAAAACAACCCTAAAATAGAATTATAGTTTGTTTTAAATAATTGTACAGTATCAAAGTTGTTTTAGGGATTCGCAATTTTTGTTAAAACAAAGATCGCAATATTATTATTATTATTATTATTATTTGTACAGTATCAAAGTTGTTTTAGGGATTCGCAATTTTTGCTAAAATAAAGATCGCAATATTATTATTATCATAATTTTTATTTTTTTTTATTAAATTTTGCTTATTTTTTTTTTTGCTTATCGTAAGTTGATTTATAAATATTTTTGGTTTTATGAAATGTTATTATTATTATTATTGTTATTATTGTTATTATAAGTTAAAATAATATACAATTTTTCTGTTTTTTGATAGTAGTATTGTAATGATCGTAGATATCGTCAGACGAATCTCGGGTAAATTTGAAAACGCAGAATATCCTCGCATAACGGATTCCGTTTACCCATCAAGTTCGTTATAGGAGTGCATCTATATGGATCAGTGAGTATCGTCCATGAATAGAATCATTGAAACCGAGCGTTCTAATCTAACAATTGTTGAAACGTGAATTTCTGAGGTTTCATTGCATTAAAATAGACTTTCGTTGAATATGAAGTGGCCTGTTCGAGTTATGATTAAATAAAGAGTTATAATAGTTCAATAAACTTAACCCTAAGTTAGGACTAAATTAGGTATTTAATAAATAGGTTCTCCTATAAGAAAAAAAGTTATATTTTAATATAAAATTTCATTTTWCATATTAAATATTGTAATTATTATTATTAGATAATATTAGAGATTATTTTAATAGTAATATCATTCTAATAACATTATACTATTTCATTTATTATTTCGATTAAGAAAATGGTTATTACGATGGAACGAAATTTTATACGTATTTAATTATTAACTAAATTTTGATCTCCTCTTCTATTTCCGATAAAATAAATAGTACAATGAACTGTATTCTTTAATGTGAGTTCTAATTAATGGTCGCTTGATCAAACGACAGTATATGCGTGTGTGTGTGTATAAATGATTGTTGCCATAACAAATATCTCGAAACACGATTTTCAGATTTCGCACGAAATCTCGATTCTACTTTTACTTCTGGGAAATTAAATTCGACCTATTTGAATGAAATAATATTTTTCTATATTTAAATCTAATATATATATATATATATATATAATTCAAATTATAATGAATAAATATTATTCGGAATAATCCTACGCAAAGAAATAAAGTTATATATCAATTAAGGATATTTTTGCAACGAGTTGCACACACATTCTAGAGTGGTGTAATTAACCCCGTGAAATGATATAATCAAATAATAATTGCATTCCTACCATTTGATTACACACACACATACAAACATTAATATTATTTCAGAAAATAAAGTTATATTTTATAAATATTACCTCTCGTTATTTAACATCGACCGATGGTTAACGAATTTATCGAATAAACATATCCCTTAACAAACAAAGAAGAAAGAAAGACAAAAAAAAATAACAATCCACGATAAAACAGGAGAGAAAATCCTTGAAAAAGGATTCAGTTCAATGAAATATGGATAGCACTAAATCATTTAGGAAAGTAATATTTCGTTAGTAACATTTCGAACGTACACACACACACACGTACACATATACAGAGACTTACACATACATATTAACACGAATTGATTAGGGAAAAGGTCCTGGTAGAGTCCAGTGAAGAGAAAAGATAGAAGCACAGCAACAAGAGGTACAGCTCGGCTGGTAGGCTTCCTTTGGAACTTGAATTCTCCGTTTTCACCACCGGCAGCACCAGTACCAACACCAGTACCAGTACCAGCACCAGTTACTACCACCATCTCTACCACTAACACAGTAACACTAGAGTACCACACAAGCATACAACATAACCAGTAGAGCAACCGTCATAGTCCGTAGATTTTCCACGTTCTCTTCCTGAGTGGGGGAAAGGACAACGAGTGTTTGTCTGTGTGTTTGAGATTGGATAAATGTGTTGGGGTGTACATGTTCATATTTCTTGCGGAAAGTCCAACAGCGCCAGAGAGAGAGAGAGAGAGAAGGGGTGGGGGTGTAAAAGGTTGTGCGTGTGTGGGGTATCGTTTGGTTCGATACGAGCGTGCGAGCGGCAAACGAGTCGGCTGTTCGCGGACAGTGCCGCCACAGCTCTCGAAAGAGACGCCCGTGATTTTGCACCCCCGCTCGAAGCAGAATCTACCGGACTATACGACGAGGGTGCACCACGGCTCTCTTCTTCTACCCGTCTATCTCTTTCTTTTTCTTTTTCCTCTTTTTTTTTCTCCTTCTCCTTCTTCTTCTTCTATTTCTTCTCTTCCTCTATTCTTCTTTCCTTCCTTTATTTCTATCATTCTCTCTCTCTCTCTCTCTCAAATTACCTCCAACCCTTTACCCACGTTTACCCTTCACCGTTCAACCCTTAACATTTGTCCTTATTTTATTCTTAATATTCTTATTTTTATATTTTCCTCATTCTCATCTTCCTCCTTCTCTTGTTGCTTTTTATTTTTCTTCTTATTCTTCCATTATATTTTTCTTTTCTTCGTTATATTATTATTATTTTCTTATTCAACCCCATGCCCTTTTTTCCCTTCCCTTGACGTCCTCCTTGTGAAAACTTTCTTTCTATTGTGGAAAAACGAGCTCGTAACGTGCGTTTTTATACCGCTGATACATTAAACGTACACGTACAAATTCGCGAGTGCATTTTCAAGGGAATTTATTAAAGGAGTGAAAGAAAAGGAGGAAGAAAACAAGTGGAGAAGAAGGTGCACGAGTAATAAATAAAAGAAGAGTAGAAGGAGGAAAAGGAAGAGGAAGAGGAAGAGGAAGAGGAAGAGGAAGAGGAAAAGGAAAAGGAAAAGGAAAAAAAGGAACAACACTTAGCAAGCCTCCCAATATTTTTGTGATTGTGAGATGGTGTTCGTGAACGTGCAGATGTTAGTTGCTACCCTCTGGTTGGTGATGTTCGTGGACCTTTCGTCGAAAATTTTCTAAAACGAGTTCTCTCTCTTTCTTTCTCTCTCTCTCTCCCATTCTTTTTTTCATATTGTTTCTTTGATCTCTATTTTATTTATATAGACAGATTCGATTTAGCGCGGGTTTTATGAATTAGAATAAACCCCTATGCGTCATTGGCATTTCATTCCTTTATTCGTTTCGTTGCATACACACACACAGACAAACATAGAGTTACAGAACGTATCTCACAATCAGTTCCGCGTGCATTGTGTGCATGCGTGCGTGTATGTATATATATATATATTTGTTTTTTAATTTTTTTTTTTAAATATAAACGACGACAATTACAACCCCTTTAAATTAACATAATTGAAGAATAAAAACAAATGTGTAAAGAGAACATTGCTCCAGCATTGGTACAGAGGCCAATGACTCCTACAAGGGCGTAACGCCCCCACGTCGATAAAATTTTCGTTCAAACTCTCTTTTCCAAGGTTTCGATATTCATCTTATTGAAAAAATAATCATTCTTATCATTATTGTCATAATCATCATCATTATTATCATCATCGTCATCATCATTATCATCATCATCATCATCATCATCATCAGCAGCAGCAGCAGCAGCATCATTATCATCATAATACGTGAACACATAAGCGCGAGTTATCTTTGCACTCGACAGGATGTTGAATCGCCGATAAACTGAAGGGAGGATAGAATATGATGTTAGGAAGGGTCAGGGTGATCGACCCGTAAAGCCAACCACCTGACACAAACGCACACACATATAAAATACTTTCTCAGTGTCTCTCTTTCTCTTTATTTCTCCCTTTTTCTTACTGTCTTTTTCTCATTCCTTTATCAACAGGAAATATGTCACGAATTGGTGTCTACCTAACTTGGAACTATTCCAAAATACAGAAAGGAAGACAGAGAGAGAGAGAGAGAGAGAGAGAGAGTGAGAGAAAGAGAAGTATTTACAAGCGGTTCCCTCTGTTTTCATGGCTTTCGTGAATCCCGATGAACGTTTCTCGCAAATAATTCTAATATCCTTCCAACTACTACCGCAAAACACGACTTCCTCGCTTGACTTCCTATTTGATCCATGACGTTCCAACCTATCCAAACTAAGACCTACAACCCCAGTAATCAGCCTATCATTTCTCAACCCTCAACCCCGAGGTCTTTGACAAAGAACAAGACTTCCATCAAGTTCACACTTTGGATAGATTAGTCAACGATTCGTCGTCTCGGATAGCTTGACGAAAGACTTCCCTAAGCTAATGTAATATTTGTCTTAGCAATTTGGAGTACGATTTATGAGGTTTAAAGGATCATATTTGATAACATTAGGTAGATTTTGTGTTGAGATTAGAATTATGATTATTAAGAGTTTCTTTAATCGATTTTGTAGATTTGAAAGATAAGAAAGGAATGGGGAGAGGGAAGAGAGAACTTCGATTGGAGGATTAAATTGAGAATAATTTGTTTTTATTTTTCAAAAAAAAAATAGGAAATTAATAGGAATGAGATAGTATTGTATTAAAAACAAAAGAAAAAAGAGGAAAACTAAATAAAATTAAAAGAAAAAGAGAACGAAAACAACGGACGTTTTTCTTAGCAATGAAGAAGAACAGTTACGAGTTGACAAATGCCGGCGGTATGATTCGTCGGGAAAATATCGATGATGAGTTCTTGCCTTTGGTTGTACGAGGAGAAGGTTACGATCGTTATTAACGAAGAAGAGAGAGAGGAGAGAAATAGAAGAGATCAAAGAAGGATAGGAAGAAGGAGAATAAGGAGGAAAGAAAAGAGAAAGAGAAAGAAGAGGAATAAAAATAACAAGGTGATATCGATAGGATCATCCGAGATGAAAGGTACAAGGTGATGAATAAAGAGCAGAGGTCCCAATGATATCTTGGCGAGGTGGAAGCGAGGGGTGTAAAGGTCCACCCAGTAGTCCGCTGAGTAGCGGTTCCGAGGACAACGGATTCGTTAATCGTCCTCGGGTGGCGGGTCTCTACGTGAAGAATCTTAGCAGAGAAGAACTGGATAGTTTGGCGGAAGAAGGAATTTATGGACCAAAGGGAGACCCAAACGAGAGAAGAAGGAACGGTGGTAGTCAAAGAAGTTTGAATCTTCCCGGTCCGAGTCGAGAGTTCGAAGGACATCATCGTTATCCTGTTGCAACATCGAGAACACCCCAACCACCCAGAAGATCGGCTATTGGTGTTAGATACAATGAAGCCGAAAGAAGACTCGATCATCATGGTTCCGTGCCGATCGAAAGAGTTTGGTCTCGACGTGGTTTCAACGGGGGTTCGAGGCACAACTCCCCTGTCCGCGAATCCTTCGGATCAGTCGACAGTTGGAAGTCGCCTCTTGCCAGACGAAGAATCGGCAATTCGCCAAGAGGAAGTTCCGTGGATTTACGAGTATCGAAGGATTCCACGAGATCCTCCAGTTCACGTAATACGGATTTTGCGTTTGAAAGGAGCCGTTCGAGGAGTCCCGAGGAACCACCAGTTCCACCACCGAGAAGAACGCGTACGAGATCGGACGATCAGGGTGAAGGGGAGTCGCCGAAGAAACAACCAGCAAGACGCTCGCCACCTCCATACGCGGGTTTGAGTCCACCCGAGTATACGCTTTACGACGAATATGATTACGAGGATAGCCTGTCCAGGCTATTTCCAAGATGCGCTACCACGAGACCCTACGCCGAGAGTCCTCAGTACGATAAATCACAGATAACGAAGAATTCCGATCGAGACATTTCTGGAGTAACGGAGACTGAATTAAAACAATCTACGACGAAGGATATTGTCAATGATAAAAAAGAAGATTCTAACCAAGTCGATAAGATGTGTGACAAAACTAGTCCGATTTCGAGGGAGGATGATAGTAGGAAGGATTCACCGCCGAAAAAATTATCGAGAGTTCAGGATAGTACGAGATTGCGTCCACCGTTGGTTGGGACCGCTGGTACCTCGGCAGATTCTGGTACTGGTGATACCGGAAGTGCCGAGATTCAAGCGGACACTATGGGAACACCAAGAGAAAGTTCGACCATAGCCCTCGATACGATTGTCGTTAATATCGAAGGCAAATCACCTGGCTCGAAGACACCCGGCAAGGCTGCCAAACAAATGGTCAAACCTTTTACCAAAGAAAGCCTGGACAGGATAGAAAATCGTACGGTACAGTTGGTCAGAGATTATGGATTTCAACCGAAAAGGAAGATGTCTGTTGAAGATGGTGCCGTTTTGCCAATGAAATTCGAACCTTTCCCGACCGAACTTTATGGCAGACCACTCGAAGAAATCGATAACTTTATATACGACGAGGTAAGCTCGACTGATATTTTTTAATATTCTTCTTTTTCTTTTTCTTTTATATTTAATTGTATCAAAACTTCATTATCAAACTTAATTAGGTCGGTATAATAATAATGATAATAATGATAAAAAAGTAACTTTGTTTCTTTCTCTCTTTAATGATACTTAAAATGAACGTCATTATAGTTAAAACCTAAATATCATAGTAATGAATGGTGCGAGAATAACCACGCAATCGTTTAAAACTTTACTACACAAATACATTAAATCGGTTAAAACTAAATTTAATAGTTTAAAGAGCAAAAGATAAAGAGATAAGGAGAATTTGCATTAAGTATAGTTTACTTTAGTGACGATCTCTTCGAAAGGATTAGTTGCATAAAATCCCGTTTTCGATGAAACTATCTCCCCCAATTTTCTTTCTCCCCCTTTCCCTCTTTTCTTCTCTCTTTCTTTCTTTTCGTTATCCGTTGCTTCTCTCTTTGACAACACGATTCCACCTTGTTTCGCGTTTATCCTTAACGCTACTTGTTTTCTCCTAACTAAAATGTTGCATGTGAAATTGGTATTAAACTTGTGTTCGAAATTTCTCCGGAAATGACGACATTATTCTATATATCAAACACGAAATAATAATATCGATATTTTATTCCGTCTTCTTATATTACAATACTGACGTGTGTTATTTATCGTGCACGATATTTTTCATCTAATCAAAGAAAAATAATATATTTGACGATTAATAATCATAAACGAATCAATTCGACGTGATAAATCTTATTCTAATGTTAAAATATTATGAACATTTATTAAAAATTTAAACAATTGATTTTTTTCACGAGAAAATATTAGTTAATCAAATATTAGAATATATCATGAATATTTATTAGAAATTTAAATAAAGAAATTTGAAATATTCTATTCTTCAACATAGATAAACAAAATAATAATTTGACACTTTTCTTGTATCGATTAAGAATTTAATTATTTAATTGGGCAAACAAAATGTGTGTTAAAATATTTAACACGAACTAAAAGGTTATAAATTAACAGTAAATTAAAAATAAATATCAAATTCACAAATTGTGTTAGCTTTATCTATGATCTACAAATTGATTTGTAGATCATAGTTACTCGATCATATTTAAGTTAAAGTTGACACTTTGGAGTGGCCCTTGAGTGTAAGGTTTTGTTATTTATTACAATCGAATAGTCGGGCAGATATAGATGAGAGAAATGTGCGGGTTCACGTTTTAATACCATCTTTCTCTCTCTCTCTCTCTCTCTCTCTCTCTCTTTCTGTAGAACGGTATAGGCTCACAATGCGGAGGCACCCTTACGTCACGGTAAATGCAAACAGTGTTGCGGAACCTTGCGTGAAAAGAGCTCTGACGAAGGCTATTGGAAATCCTTTCACAATGGAATAACGGAGATCCATTTCGCGTGTATAGAAGACACGAAGCTATATAGGGAATAGGACGGTTTTCGTGAAAGATATAAAAGAGAGAGAGAGAGAGAGAGAGAGAGAGAGAGAGAGAGAGAGAGAGAGAGAAAGAAGAAATAGAAGAAGAAGAAGAAGAAGTAGAAGATGTAGAAGGAGTAGTCTTATCGAGAAGAAAAGAGATAGAGTTAGAGATAGATAGATAGAGAGGGAAAGAGAATTTTTTCAAGCGAACTTCTTTGTACCATTTTGGGACACATAGTACATATGTACGATATGTATATATAATGTATAATATATATAAGGTGGGGGCCGAAAGTTCTTTAGTGGACCAAATCTTCCTAGGTGGGCCAAAAGGTTATTCGTGATTTTAAATACGATTAATATTTTTGTTGTTGTTGTGGTTGTTTTCTTTTTTTAACAATAATTTATTAATAATTCATATATTTTCTTTAAATTATTATAACATTAGAAGTATAATTTATATTATTATATATAAAATAAAATATTAAATAAATATATAATATTAACTAATTAATATTAATTTAATATAATATTTTAATAAAATTATCATTTTAAATTACAGTCTTTAAAAAGACTAATTAATTTTAAATAATTATCTTACAAATTGATCGCGATATTAAAATTTTTGGCAAGCGCATAGAATAATTAAATGTTTAATACGAGTAAGTGATTTCTAAATAATTGAGCACATCTTAGAATTTATAGTGAAATTGTTAAAATAGGATAATTAAGATTAAACTTATTATTAGTTTAGACATTTTTATATTTGTTTCCTTTTTTTTTATTTCGTTGAAAGTTAGATTAAAAATTGTCAAAGCAGAATGAAGCTTCCGAGATTACTTTTTTAGATCGTCTTTCAATCAAAAATCTTGTCTTACAAAATATAGGAAACTTGAGAGTACGAACGTTGCCTTTGAAAATAAGTGACTGTAGTATTGCTGGTGGTAGTTGGGATGAGAAGAAGAAGGTTAAGGGGATGGTGGTGGTGGTGGTGGTGGTGGTGGGATTAAATGGAAACGCTTTCGACATTCGATGTGAATACGGATCAATGTCGATAGACGACGACTTGGTAGAAATCGTTCTAAGAGATTGCATAAGAGGGTCAGTTAGAGATAGCAACTATGTGTAAACCTCTGCTAGGAGTATATGGATCATTATACCGAGAAACTTTCAATATAACTATGCGGAAATTAACTTTTCTTCTTTTCTTCGGTTACTTCCGTTACTATCATGATTTATTTACATCTTATGATTGATATTAGACATTATATATATATATGAATATTAATTAATTTTTTCAATCATTTAGAAATGTTTGATCCACTTCGAAACTTTTGACCCATTCTGTATAGAAAACAAAATATTTGTAGACTAGTATTGAATGAATCGAAAGATTCTAGGTTTTTCTTTAAAAAATACAATTTTTAATTTTCACAATCTAAACTTGCAGTTTAATAATTGAAAGAATATATATATTAGCTTGAAAAAATATTGACAAAAATCACTTGTGAAGATTTTTCGAACCCAGAATTGGATGTACGTATATATTTTTATGTTTCTATTGACTCATTCGAAATTAACGTTCCTGTCTCTTTGTTAGAACAGATCGTTTAGATAGTTTTATTTTTTCTTTTCATTTTTATTCTTCCTTTCTTTTTTTTTTTTTCTCATCATGCACACATGAAAGTTAGAATCGTTGTAGAATTGCAAGGTAAAAATCGATGAGCGTGTAAACGCGTGACGTTTAAGTTTCCCTCGATGCTTAGCACCGTCCTGTTGTCTATGTACTACTCATTCCTATTCCCGTAAATTCAAACGGTGTAAATGTAGAAGAAGTATATAACAAATCGAAGCTCACCAAGCCGACAGTAGTTACGCTCGGTGTCTAGTCAGACTTTATTAGTCTGCTACCACACATTGCACGTAGCACACAGCCCAGCACACCACATACCACGCCACACTATATCACACTACATCACACCACATCACACCATTCTGCATACCGGTGACACCTCGAAAAAGAACGATCGAAGCTGAACGTTCGCGCATTAAAATCGTTGAAAACAAAAGCAACCGATCGATCACGATCGATTCTCGTTTGCTAAACACGCGAACGAAGTCTCGCGGTCGGTCAGTTAATCTCTGTCGACTTTAACCTTTTTTTTTATCCTTCTAGCTTAGAACATATATGTATAGTATATATATATATATATATGTATATGGGTAGTATAATAATAGTATATACATATTTATAAATATACATGGACATTTTGATGTATATGTGTACTATAAAACAGTCATTTTTTATATTTATGTTTGTATAGTGTACCTTATAATGTAATTTTATAGAAATATAGAAATTGTAATATGTGTATTATTAAAATATATTATACAATATATTTAATGTAGAATAGTATGTCTAAAAATATATATAAAATATATTTGTAAATACGAATTTTTATATTTTTTATTAATTTTGTTCAGCAAAAAAAAATATAAAATAAAAATTATAATTATAAAGATGATTATATATACTTATATACAATACATTTAAATTTTTTACAACAGAATAAGTAAACAAAGAATATAAAAATATATAAAATATATATACTATGCAATACTAATATATAATAAGAATTAATTAGAATTGTATCATAGTAAATAAATTAAATAAAAAAGTAAAAAATACACATTGCATAAAAAAACGAGGAAAATTCTACAAAAAAAAAAAAAAAACAAAAAAACAGGAAAAAAGTACTACGACATGTCACCAATAAAATAAAAACGATGCTACACGTTTCTAATAAATACAAATTCGTGTATGAGTATAGTTAGGAATTTTTGGAAGTAGTATATGCTTGATATTATTATGAACAATATAAAAAAGAAATATAAAAATGTAGATAACAAGTTGATCATTCATTATAATGTAAATATGAGTGCGTAGTTGACAAAATGCGTTCAATACTTTCATCTTGGTGTTTTAATTATCGTCATTATTTCTCATTGTCCTTCTCGGACAACAAGCTTGACGCTTTTTAATGGAAAGTTTACACGCTGACATTCTGAACAATCTAGACTGAAATATCCCGATATATCTGATGGCAGCTATTCCCCGAGACTTTCATAAACCATCAGAGTGTAGAATCGAAGTGACACACATATTCCACTATTCGCGGCACTAGCAATTTCCAAGATACTCGTAAACCACATCTTTGCACGACGCTTATTGGAAATGGCCTTGTGCATTTATATCTATCTATCTATATATATATATATGTGTGTATGTGTATATATAATATTATATTAATATGCATAATGTAGTCATACATATTAATATATACCTAATATGTAGGTTAGAGTCCCTTGATTATTCCAATTATTCTAACAGTCAAAGAATCTTACATGCAATATGGTCGAAAAATTTTCAGGCAAAATTTTTACAAATTAATTTATCTTTTTCCGCCATATTTTTTATAATCCTTACTTTCTTATTTTAAATACAAAAACTCGCAAGAGAATCTTATATGCAATATGGGCTAAA